TAATATCATGGGTAAGATGTTTTAAAAAACTTTTCTATTTAAAGAGTCAAAACATGGTATTTGTCCAACACAGTGCTTCTGATAAAGTCAGCGGCATTGAGCGTCATTTGTCCAAAACAGAGCTTCTGGTAAAGTCAGCGGCATTGAGCGGCATTTGTCCAACACTGTGCCTCTGGTAAAGTCAGCGGTATTGAGCGGCAATTGTCCAAGACAGAGCTTCTGGTAACTTCAGCAGCATTGAGCGGCATTTGTCCAAGACAGAGTTTCTGGTGAAGTCAGGGCATTGAGCGGCATTTGTTCCACACAGAGCTTCTGGTGAAGTCAGCGGCATTGAGCGGCATTTGTCCAACACAGAGCTTCTGGTGAGGTCAGCGGCATTGAGCGGCATTTGTCCAAGACAGTGCCTCTAGCAAAGTCAGCAGCATTGAGCGGCATTTGTCCAACACAGTGCTTCTGGTAACTTCAGTGGCATTGAGCGGCATCTGTCCAAGACAGAGTTTCTGGTGAAGTCAGTGGCATTGAGCGGCATTTGTCCAACACAGAGTTTTCGTAACTTCAGCGGCATTGAGCGGCATTTGTTCAACACAGAGTTTCTGGTGAAGTCAGCGGCATTGAGCGGCATTTGTCCAACACAGAGCTTCTGGTGAGGTCAGCGGCATTGAGCGGCATTTGTCCAAGACAGTGCCTCTAGCAAAGTCAGCAGCATTGAGCGGCATTGTCCAACACAGTGCTTCTGGTAACTTCAGTGGCATTGAGCGGCATCTGTCCAAGACAGAGTTTCTGGTGAAGTCAGTGGCATTGAGCGGCATTTGTCCAACACAGAGTTTTCGTAACTTCAGCGGCATTGAGCGGCATTTGTTCAACACAGAGTTTCTGGTGAAGTCAGCGGCATTGAGCGGCATTGTCCCATACAGAGCTTCTGGTAACTTCAGCGGCATTTGTCCAAAACAGAGTTTCAGGTGAGGTCAGCGGCATTGAGCGGCATTTGTCCAAGACAGTGCCTCTGGTAAAGTCAGCGGCATTGAGCGGCATTTGTCCAACACAGAGTTTTGGTAACTTCAGCGGCATTGAGCGGCATTTGTCCAGCACAGAGCTTCTGGTGAGGTCAGCGGAATTGAGGTGCATTTGTTCCACACAGAGCTTCTTATAACTTCAGCGGCATTTGTCAAACACAGAGCTTCTGGTGAGGTCAGCGGCATTGAGCGGCATTTGTCCAACACAGAGCTTCTGTTAACTTCAGTGGCATTGAGCGGCATTTGTCCAAGACAGTGCCTCTGGTAAAGTCAGCGGCATTGAGCGGCATTTGTCCAAGACAGAGTTTCTGTTGAGGTCAGCGGCATTGAGCGGCATTTGTCCAAGACAGTGCCTCTGGTAAAGTCAGCGGCATTTGTACAACACAGAGCTTCTGGTAACTTCAGCAGCATTGAGCGGCATTTGTCCAACACAGAGTTTCTGGTGAAGTCAGTGGCATTGAGCGGCATTTGTCCAAGACAGAGCTTCTGGTAAAGTCAGCGGCATTGAGCGGCATTTGTCCAACACAGTGCCTCTGGTAAAGTCAGCAGCATTGAGCGGCATTTGTCCGTCTTAGACAGAGCTTCTGGTCACTTCAGCGGCATTAAGCGGCATTTGTCCAAGACAGAGCTTCTGGTAAGGTCAGCGGCATTGAGCGGCATCTGTCCAACACAGTGCCTCTGGTAAAGTCAGCAGCATTGAGCGGCATTTGTCCATCCAAGACAGAGCTTCTGGTCACTTCAGCGGCATTTGTCCAAGACAGAGCTTCTGGTCACTTCAGCGGCATTGAGCGGCATTTGTCCAGGACAGAGTTTCTGGTGAGGTCAGCAGCATTGAGCAGCATTTGTCCAACACAGTGCCTCTGGTAAAGTCCAACACAGAACTAGCAGCATTCTTCATCTTATATACGGAATAGGCAGCATTCTTCATGTAGAGATCTTATACTGAATAAGCAGCATTCTTCATGTAGTGACCATAAACAGAATGAGCAAGTTTTTCATGTAATTAGCATATACAGAATAAGCAGCATTCTTCATGTAGTGACCTTATACGGAATAAGTAGCATTCTCCATGTAGTGACCTTATACGGAATAAGCAGCATTCTTCATGTTGTGACCTTATACGAAATAGGCAGCATTCTTCATGTAGTGCCCTTTTACCGATTAAGCAGCATTCTTCATGTTGTGACCTTATACCGAATAAGCAGCATTCTTCATGTAGTGACCTTATACCGAATAAGCAGCATTCTTCATGTAGTGACCTTATACGAAATAGGCAGCATTCTTCATGTAGTGACCTTATATGGAATAAGCAGCATTCTTCATGTAGTGACCTTAAACGGAATAAGCAGCATTCTTCATGTTGTGACCTTAAACGGAATAAGCAGCATTCTTCATGTTGTGACCTTATACGGAATAAGCAGCATTCTTCATGTAGTGACCTTATACCGAATAAGCAGCATTCTTCATGTAGTGACCTTATTCCGAATAAGCAGCATTCTTCATGTAGTGACCTTTTACGGAATAAGCGGCATTCTTCATGTATTGACCTAATATTGAATGAGCTGCATTCTTCATGTAGTGACCTTATACAGAATAAGCAGCATTATTCATGTCGTGACCTTATACAGAATGAGCAGCATTCTTCATGTAATGACCTTATACGGAATAAGCTGCATTGTTTATGAAGTGACTTAATACAAACTGAGTGGTATTCCTCATGTAGTGACCTTATATGGAAGGGGCATTCTTTCTTGTGGTTTAACTTGTATTGAATGGGGGGACATTAATTAGTCCTTAGACTCTAAGTTAGACATCTATTACATTAATCTTTACATATTTTCCTTAATTTAAAAATTAAAGATCAAAGATATATTTTTGCTACTTATGCATGGGATGCCCTTAAGTTAATAGTCATAATCAAGCAATATCAATGATTACATTTCTTAGAAAATTAGAATATCGAAGCCAGATGATTAACAGTACACTGTATGTGCCTAATCATCTTTGGGTTTTAAACACTTGCTAAGATTTTGGGACAGAATCACACATTGGTGATAAGTATGTATCTGACTGCCATTACTGTAATGCTTAATTAGCATGCTTCTTGGGTGATAACAGGCCAAGATTATGCTATTTAGTGAAGTCAATTTAATCAATATTATTGTATTATCTATGTACTAATGAAAATATGATCAAAAGAAAGGGAGAAAACATAAATGCTAATTAATGATCAAATCCTTGCCATTTAAGAAAAACAAATATCTTTACAGTACCTTTCATAGATAGAATGGTAAACCTTATCTTAATTATAAGTAATTCTATCAGTAGAAAAAGAATCAATTGTATTTCATATTCTTCTATCCTTGGTCTAAACAAAACATTATTTATGCACACATTAATTTTTCAGGCCTTCTGTGACTCTTTTTAAGGCAAAGAATTTTCATTGTACAAAAGTGAATAAAACATTTTTTTTTTGAGAAAAGTTCAACTTTTCATATAACTTATTTAAACTTTGCAACTAACTTTAGCAGAAGTACCATGTTGGACTTAACTAGACGCTGTGTGTTGGACAATGCCGCTCAATGCCGCTGACTTCACCAGAAGCTCTGTCTTGGACAAATGCCACTCAATGCCGCTGACTTTACCAGAGACACTGCGTTGGACAAATGCCGCTCAATGCCACTGACTTCACCAGAAGCTCTGTGTTGGACAAATGCCGCTCAATGCCGCTGACTTTACCAGAAGCTCTGTCTTGGACAAATGCCGCTCAATGCCGCTGACTTTAACAGAGGCACTGTCTTGGACAAATGCCGTTCAATGCCGCTGACCTCACCAGAAGCTCTGTCTTGGACAAATGCCGCTCAATGCCACTGACTTTAACAGAGGCACTCTCTTGGACAAATGCCGCTCAATGCCGCTGACATCACCAGAAGCTCTGTCTTGGACAAATGCCAATGCCGCTGAAGTGACAAAAGCTCTGTCTTGGACAAATGCCGCTCAATGCCGTTGACTTCACCAGAAACTCTGTCTTGGACAAATGCCGCTCAATGCCGCTGACTTTACCAGAAACTCTGTCTTGGACAAATGCCGCTCAATGCCGCTGACTTTACCAGAAGCTCTGTGTTGGACAAATGCCGCTCAATGCCGCTGACTTCACCAGAAGCTCTGTGTTGGAAAAATGCCGCTCAACGCTGCTGACTTTACCAGAAGCTCTGTTTTAGACAAATACCGCTCAATGCCCCTGACTTTACCAGAAGCTCTATCTTGGACAAAGACCAAACACCAACCCATTTCTTTTGATTTTCGTGACTTCTTACATGAAGTATGAACCGTGGAAGAAAAAAAATATATGTAGCTGATATTAGATAATTACTATATAAAAAAAGGGATGTTGAAGGCAGAAAAGCTGGAATCGTTTGTCATATAGTTCAGTTTTAAGTTTGTCATAAACGTCTTGATTCAGTAAAACTTCCAAACTTGAGACAAATGTGACAGGCTATGTAATAACTTTCAAATTCACTGGGATATATCTTGTCTACATATTAATGAAAGAATACATTGTAATTGATAAAACGTCATCGATGTACATAGTGTCAAAATGAAGGTCATTGCAAGCTATAACAATCAATACGCAACTAATTGTTGCCAATATTCAAATTTAGCGACTTCAACACCCTCGCTAATAATGCCAAAATTAAATCCTCACCAAAAATTCTGCTTATATGGTATATCTATAAAAAGCAAAGCACACATAAATCCACGGTAAATTACGGCTCGTAGTTTGTTACTACGTTAAATACCATCTTAATCATAATTCATATGTAGAAGGAAAATCTATGTTGGACGTTAATTCGGTACATACTAGATACTTCAGTCCAAAGCAAGGAGGAACAACCCTTAGCCAGAAACAAGAGGAGCAGACCTTGAACGAGAGAGTGGCGATTATCGAGATCTTATAATAAGGGTATGACTAACGAGGCAAGAAACTTCTCAGTCACGTTTACTACGAATCAGCTGATAGCACTGCATCGTACAAGATTAACGTGAGTATCAGTAAAACTCACTGAGGGGACTACAGTCTCTAAGATCTTCCATCCGGTAAGTGTTATTTTATCTTTAAAAAAGTAACGGAAAGTGTGTTACCACATGTTGAAATTATAATTTTTTGTTTTTCTTATTCTCTATATTAGATTCACGTATACTTATGCATACGCATTTTCTAGAGTAATTTAAAGGGTTGAAATAAGGCGTCTTTATGCATGTGGTCAAAAATGTTTGCTTTTATCATGAAATCATAAATTTCTTGATTACTGCGGTTGCTTGTATTTTTGGGGGTTGTTTTATTGGTCTTATGGTCTTATTATTTTAGCTTGGTTTTTGTCCAAAGAAGATTAATGATTTTCAGGTTCTAACTTTCAATTATTTCATTTCTCTCATTATTTGTAAATACTGTAAGTGTAGGCAGAGGGGTATATTTACTATATGTTTAATTCACAATATCGTATCCCTTAAAAACGCATATCATGCTTTCGAGCCATTTATCTGACCTAGACAAAAAGTACATATATTTGCCCTTGAATCCTTGGTTTGTGTATACATATATGTAATAATTGCACTATCGGTAACTGAATCGTAAAAAGATGTCAATTACTTAGAATTCTCTTAAGGACATGCATGTATGCATCATAGTTATGAATTTAATTTTCTTATTCTCTGTACAATTTTAGAAATTCCAATAATTGAAGAATCTTTATGAGATTTTATGATGCCTGGTAATGTGTACACCTACTCTGAATTAAGTTTTAAGGAAATACCAGCTAAAACTGCATTTTTGTTAACTTTTCTTTAAAAAACACACAAGGATTTTCATCATTTGATATCTGTTCAAACTCCTTGTAATGTACACTGATTTTGTTTTGTCAAAGATCATCTAATGGCACTATGACTTTAAATTAAGGTATACGCAACGTACATATACTTTACAATGTGCCTTTCCCACTGATAATAGTCCAAGATATTCTTAATTTAAAATCATAATACCATCAAATGTTTTTATACGCAAAATCAGCATACATTACCAGGAGTTTTAAACTGATATGAGATGATGAAAGTCCTTACATTTTAAAAGAAAAATTAATAAAATATAGTTTTAGCGGGTATTTCCTGATAATTTGATTCAGACGAGGTGTACAACATAAACTGGCATCATAATATTATACAGGGAATAAGAAAAAAAGTTCAAAACTACATTGCATATGTCTATAAGAATATCTAGGACAATTGTCCGTGGGAAAGATACATTGTAAAGTACATTTACGTCGCGTATTACCTTAAATGACTTCGATATCGATTATCTCTAAAAGCACTGCATTTGTTAAATTTTCGATAGATACAATGTATTTATAGATAAATGGTATTTAGATAAAGGTATGTTAACATAAAAGAGTACGATGATAATATAATGTTTCGATTATATCCATTTAACCTCTATTGGCTTTTGTCTTAAGTTAAAGTTTAGTTTAAATTATATAGAATTTGATTAAGATGATAACATACACGTTAAATGATGTACATGTAAAGGTAATTGAACAATTCCTGATAATATTATATAGATTTCAATAAGATGCTTTGGAACATGATATATATTGAAAGATGCTGATGAATTGAAAATTTAATAGAACCACACAATATGATGTTCCATCTAGATACAATAACTTATACACTGTAGGCCTTAACAACAACAGGATGTGGGTCCGTAGCACCGTCCTTATGCCAGTCACAACATGAAACTCAAGAATGCATGGACAATCAATCCAATTTGGTGCCGAAATACAAAAAGAATTGTTTTTTGCAAAACAATTGAATAAAGCATGCAAATATATTCATGTCATTATTTCACATTATTTTTTTTATTACTTAATATATATTGTTTTCTCCGAGTAAAGGACAACTATTCATTCAGCTTACCAACTGAAAGGTTCTTTTTAAGTGTCATCAAAAGACAGTAATCCACTGATATAAAATTATGAATGAGTCAGGTCTGTGTAATTGACCCCTGTTGACCCCTACTGGCCTCTGCTGACCTTAGACAATCTACATGAGCACATTGTCCGACAAAGTGTATCACTGTTGGATGGGGGTTAAGTATGATGCTTTCAGTGTCACTGATAAAATGCAGAGCTTATGTAGTATGTGACTATCCCGTGTATTTGCTTAATAAAGTAAAAGAAGTGTATGTATTATACCAGATGAAAACGTAAAATAGAATTCCTTTGTTTTATGCTTTAATATGTCTCGGGGGATGTAAAAGGCACGATTTGTTAAAAAAAAAAAATCATATCCAATCAGAAAAGATCGGGGATCTCCTTATTTAAAATACATGTACCAGTAAGAATAATTACAGTCCTTCTAATGGGCAATCAGTACAGCTTTTAAGCCTTTTTATATCTCCAAACGTAGAGCTATGTTACTCCTAACCAATTGACATTCAACAAACTGCTTTTTTCTATACTTTCTAATAAACATAATAAGATACAGAGTCCTCCTTAGTTTTTTTTCTTTACAACACACTACAACGCACTACGGAAAATAGATTTAAAAAGTGTCAAATTCGGTTTCAGTTACATCGTTTTGATTATATGATATGAAAAAGTAAACATTTTCAATGTTTCCATTACTTAATTTAACAATAGGTAATTGCGCATCTATATCAAACTCAGCTGTATTATGAAGCGTAAATATGTCATTTAATGTCCTAATTTCTTCTGTTATCTCAGTTTATACTGCTTTCGTGGTATTTATGTTGAAAGGTTCAGGGACAGCTTAACGGGTCAGGTCAATTGATTGCGTACGTAATCTCCCAGATACTTCACAGTTTGTCTGTATCTAGGTGTGACAACTTCATAGCCTGTCTACATCAAGATGAGGCGAAATTCACAGTCCCTCAGTGATAGAGGGCGGACTAGGAAAACGGTTTCTAAATTTTAACATACCTAACAATGCTTTACGAAATTTAGTTCTCTGGTTTCTGTCTGTTTCTTGCCTCGATCGTTATTCATACCCTTATTATTATTATTTAATTTGATTCAACTTATGATCATCTATAACTAGTATATTGTAGATTCTACAACGAGTTCTCCCATTATTTATTATTCTATTATTGTGACTGTGTCTTGTTATTCGTATTAAGTTGTCTCGTCACATGTATATACCATGTGTTTTGTATTACCAAGTTCCTCAAGTTCACACAAAACCCAGTTCAGAATGTTCGTGATGCAATGTATCAAAAGGAATTTGTCATCAGCCTTGATTTTTTGTCAAGGTCACTTTTAGTTCACCATTTTTTTTTTCAAATAAGCCACAAAGCGGAGTGTTCATGATCAATCGCCTGCATTTGATTCAAGAAAATAAAGTCATTCTTTTTCATTGAAAATAATCGTTCACGGTATAATTCTTCTGATAATTTCTCTGAAGAAGAAAAAATGTGTATGTGTGGACTTTTACTTAACCTGAATTTCCTCTGATAGTTGTAAATTTATATTTTTTGCTATTTAATGATACAATTTTCATTTTAAGTAAGTTATAACAAATAATATTATTTCCCATCATAAAATAAGTTGATGGTAGACGCCTCCAAATTCGCTGATAGTAGAGAGACAACTTGAAATGCAAAGTCTTATTGTATACACCTTTTATTTCGAAGTCAAAATTGATTTGAATTTTTTTAACACCGATTACAGAAGTTGTTTAAATACAAATTGTTTTGCTGCATTCAGGAACATGCATTTGGATCTACTAATTTTCTTGAAATACTTGCAAGACTCCATTCTAAATGTTCATATTGGAACAAAATTGATATTATAGTTCCTCATATATATATATATATATATATATATATATATATATATATATATATATATATATATATATATATATATATATATATATATATATATATTATAAAAACATGTCCTGTTTATTTCAGCATGGATTTATTTATAACGAAGTCAGTATCAAAATTACTTTTGTAACTTATACAGATTCATTGTCCAATTTTCCCTTTTGTTATTTTAATTAAGATATACTATTTCCCACCACAAGATTAAAAAAATAGTGTATAATGATGCCAATATAACATGTATACATGATTATTTTATCACCTTTTTAAGTACCCTATACCTCTGACTCGTACTTCAAGTACCAGTGAAAATATGTATTTGGAACCATAAAGCCATAAAAGATAATCTGAAACAAAAACAATGTAAATATTTGAGGTAAAATGAGCCATAAATAAATCTTCATGCACTAGAGGACAGCAGTGATGAGGGTCTGTTCTCAAGGATGAGAACTTCAGTGTTATCTCTAAAGTGTCAGATCTATGTTGAGAAATATTGACAGTTACTATTGTGATCTACTTCTAAATCATGGCATTCGATGTGACACTATTGATATAGATGGTCAATGCTTACTACCCTTCCACTTGTTTACCCAAAATAAAGAATAAACAAATTGAAATAGGTCCTTCGGCCTCTTCAGGACCCTTAAAATCTTCTACATGATATCATAAATAAACATAGGTGTGCAGGCAAAATCTAGTCAGAGTTTCGGCGTATTATTATTACACTAAATATATTTTGGTACATAGATCTAAATCTTAAACAAAAATATTTACATGTATGATAGAAAAGTAAAATATTAGTAATATTCATATTGTTGCACATGAAGTTTTGGAAATCGAGTGACATTTGATGTAATTATTTAGGGACACCTGCAAAATAAAATAACACATAAAGACAATATTTTTTGCAAGGGATAATAATTTACCTTTTATAACACGAGGGCTTACATTGTACTTGATAGAAATACAAATCTTTTACAACACACTATTGTTTGTCAAAGTTGAATTATTTATCATTCGGTAATGTCAAACAGATTACACGTAAATCAGTCTTCTTTAAATCCATATCCTTAAATATTGCACGCAGAATAACATTACGTATGACAAACTAATATAAATAATCACTAAGGTCTGGACTTCTATATGGTCCAGCCGATTTGAAAGGGGATTAATTTTTCAGAGAGGCCATCGACATTTAAATAGCCCCCGGAACTTAAAATACTGTTAATTTATGCAGCAATTATTTTTACAGATTCAACAAAGATCTGGATCATAGGATAGACACCATCGAAAAAATATATTTTACAAAAATACAACATGAAAGGGACTTAGGAGCTGACAGCTGAGGCTAGGATTGTTTTGTGACAGGAGCTTCGAATTCTAGCTTTTGCTATGTCGTTCAAGGAGAAGAAGAGACATGCCTCTGCTGAATCTACTGATTCTAGCGAGATAGACCCAGGGGACTACATCCCCACCCCTCCAGATGGGGGATGGGGATGGGTAGTAGTGGCCTGTTCATTTATGTGCAATATCATCGTAGATGGACTTGGTTACTCCTTTGGCGTTCTTCTTCCGATGTGGGTTGATGTTTTTAACGAAACAAGAGGGAAGGTATCGTTGGTGGGATCCTTACTTGTTGGAATTTATTTATGTGCAGGTAAGGTCTGCTTTAAGCTAAACTATCCTTGCAGCATATTTTTATTCATGAAATAATAAAATAAAATATTGATTCCATTTGTGTTTTGTTTAAGGTCCCATCGTTAGTGGATTAACTAACAAATTTGGTTGCCGAGCCGTAACAATTGCAGGAAGCATCTTTGCAGCAGTTGCCTTTTTGGCTGCCTCTTTTGCTAACAGCATCACAGTACTCCTCCTTACTTATGGGTTTTTAGGGGGTAAGATTCAAACGATCATCTGCTTTGTAAAAGCCTACATAAGTAGTTTTTGTAAAAGTAAAAATGTCTTTAACAATTGCATCATTATTTAATTTCCTTCCGCAAGGTTTGGGATTTGGATTGATATACCTTCCTGCCATTGTGATCGTGGGATATTACTTTGAAAAGAAACGTGCTATTGCAACCGGTATAGCAGTATGTGGATCTGGGGTTGGTACATTTATTTTTGCTCCCGCTAACGCGATGATGCTTCAGGTATACGACTGGAGAAACCTAGTAATGATTCAGGCTGGAATCGTACTGAACGCCTGTGTGTGTGGTATGTTGATGAGACCGCTTGAGCCAACGAAGAAAATGAAACAGTCACTTAGAAAAACACAAATTGAAAATGCAAGGAAAAAAGCTCTTGGACAACGAAAACGAAACGCACATTCCGACTCAAGCATGCCTGGTGCAGATAGGTTTACTAACCTAGAAGAAGTCAAAAAGAGAAAAAAGAATGACGAAAATAAAACAAAAAATTCATTTAATGAAAATTCAAGTGGGATTCTAAGTGATTTAAAAGTCCGTGAAATTCACCCCAAAATTGAAAACGGGTACGCCAAGACGCAAGGAGACGCCTTCCTTTCTGCTCCCCGATTACATTCCACCCATCACGTGGAGAAGACCGACTATTCCCGTCCCATGTACCGACAGGACATCTTCTACAGTGGTAGCATTTACAATATACCCCAATTCAAAACGTCTGGTTCAGACGTGAGAGACTACATAACCAGTACAACAAATATCCCCGATATTCCCTCGCCATCATGTTGGGATAAATGCACGTGTCTTCCATTATCCGTTGTGGACACTTTAAAAGATATGATGGACCTTTCCCTGCTTAAAGACTTTCCTTTTGTTATGATATGTTTTGGAAACATTCTTGCAATGTCTGGGTTTTATGTTCCTTTTACATATGTCGTCGATCACGCTTTACTTCTTGGTATTCCCCCAACGGATGCGGCGTTTTTGCTGTCTATAATAGGTAGAGTTAGATTATTTTTCTCTAGAGATCGTTTTCTTGTCTGTTTGAATAAAATGATTCCCTGAGTTTTGAAAACCATGAATTAATCTGTTTAATTTAGGTATTACCAACACCGTAGGCAGAATACTGTCAGGGCTCCTGGTAGACATTTTTAAATTGGACGCTTTAGTCATCAATAATGTGGCTCTGGTGCTGAGTGCCGTCCTACTCTTCGTGGAACCATTTTGTCGAACATACGAGCTTTTGATTGCATTTGCAGCATTATATGGTCTATGTGTGGGTAAGTGAGACTGGATTAACAGCATCATATGGTCTATGTGTGGGTGAAGTTGTATGGTCTGTATGTGGGTAAGTATCGGATTTGCAGCTTTATATGGTCTGTATGTGGGCAAGTATCGGATTTGCAGCTTTATAAGGTCTGTATGTAGGTAAGTGTCGGATTTGCAGCTTTATATGGTCTGTATGTGGGTAAGTGTCGGATTTGCAGCATCATATGGTCTGTATGTGGGTAAGTGTCGGATTTGCAGCATTATATGGTCTGTATGTGGGTAAGTGTCGGATTTGCAGCATCATATGGTCTGTATGTGGGTAAGTGTCGGATTTGCAGCATTATATGGTCTGTTTGTGGGTAAGTGTCGGATTTGCAGCATCATATGGTCTGTATGTGGGTAAGTGTCGGATTTGCAGCATTATATGGTCTGTATGTGGGTAAGTGTCGGATTTGCCGCATTATATGGTCTGTTTGTGGGTAAGTGTCGGATTTGCAGCATTATGTGGTTTGTAGGTGGGTAAGTGTCGGATTTGCAGCATTATATGGTCTGTTTGTGGGTAAGTGTCGGATTTGCAGCATTATGTGGTCTGTATGTGGGTAAGTAATGTTGGATTTGTAGCATTATATGGTCTATATGGCAGGCCTGTAGAACGCGGGGGGATATTATGGGAAGTTCCCCGCTTTTTGGTCAGTTTAGGTTGTTTTTTTTTTAATTTTGTTTATTTGTTTTCTTTTTTTTTGCTTGTCAATTTTGCTTTTGAAAGTTGCCCCCCCCCCACTTTTGAAACTATTGTTACTGGCCTGATATGTGGATAAGTGAGGCTGAGTTTGACAGTTCTAGTACGCTAACAAACATTTGTTTTGAATTTATTATATTGGTGTATCTGTGGGTTTAGAAAGATTGAAGGTATGCAGATTAACTCATTATGTATTGTTCTGTGATCTAATATTTTTTCTGGATGCAAAGTACCTAAATATAAAAGCTGCTAAGGTCTGTAATTCTGCGTGAATGAAATTTCAAACTCTCTAAATTGCTAAAAAAAAAATCTAGTTCTACATCATTTGGTTGATATTCAAGCTTTTCGCGATTTATATATCCTACATAAATTTTATTTAATTCTAGTTTATATATGTTAATTTATCTCAATTATCAATCAACGAGCTTTTAATATTTTCTTTTAGCTGCCTATATTTCATTAACTTCAATCATTATTTGTGACTTACTTGGACTGAAGAAGCTCACCAATGCCTTTGGACTCCTGACCTTGGCTAGAGGAGTGGCCGGGGTATATGGTCCACCTGTAGCCGGTATGTATCAATTATGTATAATAATTTCATAGTACTTTAACTATTACAATATACTTCCACTTCCAATATCCCCAAGCTAAATTGATTCTTTAAGTTAATTCTTTCGATCCGATGTTTGGGAGGCACAATTTGGAATTGACACTGTAAATATACACCTGTACACAAAATTTACGTCTTTTTTTTTAAATAAATAAAAAAATATATATATTTATAAGGACTTAAAAATTTCAAATTAAGAAAAACGGGTTAGATTTGTGCAAAGTGTTAACACAAATTAAAGTTTAAAAAACAATTTTACTTAAATATTAATGCCATATTTAACAATTCCCATATCAGGAGCTGTATATAACGCCACCGGGTCTTACAACTATTCCTTCTGGCTCGGGGGACTAATGTTTGCCGCGGGGGCCGCTTGTCATCTAGTACTTCATCTTCCATGTGTCAAGAGAAGAGGCAAAGAGGACGTGTTTGGCGAGATCGTCATCACAGAGGAGAAAGAGGTGATGTTAGATGATCGTGAAGAAGCCGTGTAACGGAGGTGAAGAAACTTTCATCGAGCTTTAAGGAGATGTACATTTCCCACGAATAATATATGTGAAATTTATCTATCAATTGTCTTTAAAAGGCTATGCTTCAACGTTTTTCTTTTTCATGTGTACATATTGTGAAGAAATACTGGTAAGGACTAAGCGGGGAGTTTTTAATACTGTTTATGTGACAAGTATTATAATACTTTGTACCTGTATGTAAAAGATGTTCAATTTGATATCATTAACATTTTGTGTGAATGTTTTGTGAGAGCATATTAATATATTCTGTTTGTGGAACAGTTTTCCAATTTTTTAGAATGAAAAGGGTGCATTTAATTTTGTTTTAAAGCATTACACGCGTATATTGATTGAGAAAATGTTTGCTGTTGTCAATGTATTCATTATATTTTCTTAATAAATTTAATTATCTTCCTTTTTGTCATGGAAATTAATAATTATAGCAAGTAGATGTATTCAGTACAGTACAAAAAATATATTTCATGCAAATGAAATGTGAAGATAATGAATCATCATTTAAACAATACAAATTAGGAAAAGAGCAAACACGGACCTCTGAAATAGAGGTGGGATCAGGTACCATGGGGGAGTAAGCATCCCCTGTAGACCGTTCACACCCGCTGTGTGTTCCCTCTCATAATCGGGTAAACGGAAAAATCAGTAGACAATTCAGTGTGAAAATAATGGCCTAAGAATTTGTATGAAAGATGTCAGACTTAACGACCGATTGTACAAACAAGGCCATTGTATCGACCATAGAACTTGCCAAATGTTGACTTATAACGAGATTCTTAATATCCTTGTATCATCAACTTATTTGTCAATATCCCGCTTTGTTTTAGAAATTGTTCATAAGTAGAATACAGTCTTGTGTGTAATCAGCTGGGAGACATTAAAATCCATATGCAGGTGATTTTGGTATATTGCTACATAAATAATGGAAGTTAACGATGGAAAAGTTGGTTATCACGTTTATCATGGTTTGTTGTTATTTTGGCATCAATGTCTTTCTCTAGAAGATCATACAAATATGAAACAGATGTACTCAGACTCTGTGACGTCTTTTATTTTGAGTTTAGTGGGATATAATGACCCATCTTAGGAATGAAACTGAATATTGTTAATTGATAAAACGTCGTCAATATACTTTATGGTCAAATTGAATGCCACAAGTAGTATAAGTTTGGTTTTTTTTTTAAATATGCCTATAGAGTAAATATTAGCGAAATCTAAAGTAGGATGTTTCCACGAGTTATTTATATTTCTCTCTACCCTACTCAATACATGTAAATTGTTCAAATGTTTCTCTGTACCCTACTCAATACATGTAAATTGTTAAGAGAAATCCTTGTGAATTGTTAAAAATTTCAGTACTAGTTTTAAATATTAGTCTGATTATCCTCTGAAAATTTGAACATGCTGAAGCAGAAAGAATACGTCTTTAATTAATACCATTTTCTCTCTATATGTAAATCTATAAAGTGTGATTCAAGTACATGAGCCATATGAATTAGGCTAAGTTTAATTTTATGTACAAAAACACTTTATTTTGATAGTACAATTTACAAGTAGGTATCGATGTAATTTACAATCCTCATCGCGGGAGGATATTTCAAGTATAATTATTTGAAACCGTTTCAAACTGAATTGGTTCCACCATGAAACTTTTTAACAACTACCAGATATTTCATCTTGTGACCTTTTAAGAATATAAAGAAGAATATATATTACGTTCAGGTTTAAATCTAAAGAATGAAGTGTGTTTTATTGTCATCACAGAAGATAACATGTTTGTTAACGCTGTATGAAGTTAAATGGCTCGCGTAATTCCACACCATTCCTGTAATCAATCAGAAAACTGCCTTAATGTCACTTGTTTTCAAAATAGTTCCAATTGCAAGCTATTCTGGAAAAGTGAAGATTCTGGAGTCATTAAGGACTATATACCAGTATCATTGCTTGAATATTGATATTTAAATCCTGGCAACCATTGACAATGCGGTTGTTGAGATGAACGTTTGTTTCGAACTCATGCAATCCGAGAAGTAAGAATTTATTAATAAGATATTACACCGAATTTTATTATATGCCAGACCTTTTTAAAGGGTCTCTCAAATATGTAAAACTAAAACATCGACACAATGAAAAGAGATGTAGATGTGTTTTTTTTTTTATTCAAAGATAAATTTATTACGCAAAAGAAAAAATAAAGTCACAAATCTAAAATAACATGCATAAACATTTAATTCAATTCTAACTGCATACATCTACGTAGTAAATTCACATTCCTGCTTAGGCCCTTTTCAAATAAAAAAAAATACCCACCATTTAATCGCAACTGAAAACAATGAGGATACCTTATAAATATCAAAGCTTATAAACAACCCAGGAGGTAGACACATCCCTGAGAAAACAGAAACATCGTGCAGATTTACAAATCTTGCCTTAAAGAGGTTCGATTCTCACCTTCTCAACAGATTTTGTCGGGCTATCTAGTCTGAAAATTTCTAGCAATTAATTGGATTCTACAAAGCCAATAAAACAACAACAATTTTGTATTTATTGAATTAACATTAGCATATTAATTTCAATTTTTCCTTTTGAATTTTAATTAATATGTGTCTGTAGAATTCTTAAGTAAAGACTTTTCACTGTAGGAGCTCAAAGGTACAGATGTTATAGATAATCTGTTTTACATCAATCAGGCGGGGAAGCTTTCATCTCCTAATCGTAATTGAAAGACTACTCTGAAAGTATGAGAATTTATGATAAGGTGATATGCTTTGTAATTTTGCCTATTTTTGGCGATGTATCGGAAATAATGATATGTTTTAACTTTGTTCAAGAAATTTTTCAAGAAAAATTTTTCAATAGTTTCCACTCGAAGATTTCATGCAGAAAAGGCCATAAATACATATGTAACACCGTTTCGATCGACAAAGAATTCAAACTTTCGGGACGAACACACTTGTGTCAACAACTGTTTCAATTATAATAATGCCTTAATGTATAATAAAAGTGTTACCCTCATGCTCTTGCAATGTTTGCTTCCATATTTGACTAAAGCTGCAATATAAGTAATATTTTTTTCGTTTTCCTCCCGTAAGATCTGAGTTCTTTTATTTCGCATGATTGCATATCAATACTCTATCGAAATACATGTACATATTTACGGAACTTTTTTTTTACTTAAAAAGGAAACGTAATGAATAGTAATCATTCAGTTCTATTATTGTATTTGAATCATAAAAACGAAGGATTTATTATGAAAAAATACGAGTACAGCGAAGTTTTGATAAACTCAACTGTACTATAGATCAGTTAGAGTACAATGTATAAATGCCGGAAAAAAGGTTTGTCAACCTTCTGACGTGTGTACGTCACGTGACTTTTTCATATAAATAAATGGAATCGGAGCATGCAAGGCAACGGTTATTTTCCGACTTTATTTTCGCAGATTCTGTAAAAATTTCTAGGTCTATATCACCTTTCAACTTCTTAGGACTTCAGACCATGGTGACTTGTTTATGTTTTCTGCGCACGAATCCTGACGGATGGGAGGAGAAAAGCATTATTTTCATGTCACGCCACAAATAATTTTTTTTCACCGTAAAAGTAGAATTTTAGTTTTTTTTAAATCTGCACTTTTGCAAGGTCTTAAACTTTCAAGAATTGATCGAAATTTGTGTGATCCATGCAAAACTTTTATTTCTTTCAATTTACAGTTTTTGCGTTTTACCGTTCTAAAGTGGAAATAAAGAAATCAAGAGGGAAATTGAAATTGTTTTAAGTTATGATATGTGTCAGAAATTCGACATTTATTAGTAGCACATTAAGCATCAAAATTGATAAATTATATTTTAATAACACTTACATGTACATAACAATAACGAACACATCTTTCGTTTCAATAAATATTACACATGGTATACATGTATAGATTGAACATTGATAATTGAAAATATATTCTAATTAGACATTGAGTAGAGATTCGTCTGTCGAGGTACCCTCACTGTCAATCACAACGGAGATACTGTCCTTTTCTGTATCAGTAGGTGAAATACAATGTTTGAGCAATATAACCGCGCAGGAAAGGGCAGCAACTACGTACATACTTCCGGAGAGTACAAAAGGGTACAGGTAAGATCTTGTCGAGTCGTACAGAAAACCTGTGAAGACATACATTAGAAAGTCTACGTCAATTATGAGCATTATAAATAAAGAGAAAATGAAATCATGGTCATATAAAATTATCATTACCTGCGGCTGGGGGATTTAGAATAAAGGCAATGCCTTGGAAAAAAGCAATCATACTGAACGCACTGGTCAGTCTTCTGATCCCCAACTGCTCCACGATCACAATCGTACGGAGGCAAACAATGCTGGCTAATAAAGCAGAAAGAGAAATATAAGTGTTTTTTTTTCCTTAAAATTTCGACAAGACTTCCCAGCAGTTTTACCTTATTAGTAATACCAAAAATCACTGTACATATTCATTTAGACAAAGTTTTCCTTCTTAAAAGTAAACTTTTAAGAGTATATTATCAAAATGACCGTTACTATATGCCTACCCATACAAAAACCAAACACTGCAGCACAAACAGAAATGGTGACGTAGCTATAGCACCATGGAAACAGGAAGTTAGCAACAGCTGCTACCGAAAGAGCAACCAGGTAGATGACGGTGCTTCTGACGTGAAATGTGTCAGTAAGAAAGCCTGCAAAAATCCGTCCCACCGTGTTGGTAATTCCACAAATGGATATGATGCTAGCACTTTGATCACGTGGAATGCCATTTGCCACTGCCATGTCGGGCAAGAAGGTCAACGATATGGATTGCGCTGTAAAAAGGGAAAAACGTGTCCTATGTTAAACATTTTTGTACATTTAGAGATATTCATAAATTTCTTCAAAAGTAACAGTTTTCAAATGAAAAAAAAGATGTCATTAATATTGCATTTGTAGTGTTTTAATATAATTCTTGGTTGAAAAAATTACATACCATCTACAAAGAAATGGCTATCTGCATTATAAAGTAATTCTACAGTATGATCATATGTTGTCATAAACATCTATACTAGAATATTGCAAGGGTGTGGCGTAAAGTGCTTTTTCTCGTAATTTGACACAAATTAGTGATTTAATTTGTAAAATAGCATTACGAGTAGTTTACGCAAAACTAATAGACTGGTTTCAAAATAATAATAAGAATTTTGCTTTTTACCAACCTTCCCCATCCAAACAGTAATTTAGTCTGTTTGCCATTGATTATTTACTTACATATCGTTATTAATAACTCGCTAGTTAATTTTTTTGATATTAGAAGTTTTCACAAATTTCAAATTTGTTCAAACAGTGGGAAAAACAATATTAGCAATTCTTTTGTGAAAAATAGTCGCACTGAATGTTTATTATTCATATAACTTCATACGAGGAACGTACATATAGAAGTAAAAATGATAATTATATTTTTTAAGATTACGTTCACGTATGTTTTAAATTTGTGATACTTATGCATAGATACTCTTAACGTCCAACGACATTGCTATTCGAATATAAGATATGGATATAAAGGAGCACATTAGATACATAAAGGTTTCACATTATACATAATGTTATTGATCTGACGACCTTCAAATATCAATTACAATTTAATTATGAGTAAATAAATAAATATTTTCAGAAGGTCGATTTTTTTCACTTGAAAATTTCCTTTTCGCAAAATGATAAACGGAAAACTTCTAAACATAGGGGGTCCCCCCAAATTGTGTTTTCTTGACATATATACCGTCCTGGCATTTACCCCTTATGAACGGCTAGGAGGAAGCATTTGTCCACCTTATCACACCAGCGCCCCGACCCCCTGAAAAACACAAGTTACTGAAAGAAAGCTATTTCTGAAAGAAAACATATAATATATAGCAAAATAAATATACTTTTTGGAACAGGTACGGATCAAATGTATTTTAAAAAACAGAAAAAGAATTTCGCAAATTGATCAAACTGAAACTTCGTTTTAGAATATTTGTCTTTAAAACCTGAAGTCATGTATTAAAATTTAATATAAAAATTTGAAATTTTTCGTTACTTATTTATCCTTACGTATTGAAATATAAATAACTTTTTTCAACTTTATTAATCTTCTGGGAGAAAAACAATTTCTATTATCATTTTAAAAGTCCACCTTACCTGTTCCTAAATAAATAAAATTAATAACTTAGATATAAATACAAGTGTATATGTGTAAAACAGTACACAAAATGTCATTAAACAAGATGGTCACTATGTGCATACAAATGAGCTGCATTCCATTATTTTTTAAATATCTTATAAATATCCAAATATATGGTTTAATTTTTTTGCTCCAACAAATTTACCAGTATTTAATTTATTTGATTTTTTGTTATCAATGCATTAATGCACTTATTGCTTTAACAATTCATTAGTTGATTTTGCAAAAATAATTAAAATTCTACGACAAAGACAAAACATATAGATTTAAAAGCGACAATTCTACACAAAGTGCATGCTAAATTTACTCTACTCACTCTGCAAACGTACATCACATTTGATAAACAAATGAACATCAATGACTTAAAAACACTGATAATAAAGTCGCACTAAAGCAAAAATGCAAAAAATATTGCCATGAAGCTGCGTGATCTGTTTTGAACATGAACATATTGGATGCATGATCAAATTTAATCCAACATTTTAAAAAAAATTTCACGTAAATTCCAATATGTTTTGTCACGTAAATTCCAATATGTTTTGTTTGATGTGCTTTGTAGGGCTGGGACGATTCAGGGTTCAATCGACTCGGTTCGGTTTCGGTTCAGAATGTCACGGTTCGGTTTTTTTCGATTCGGTTCGATTTAACCTAAAACAGTCTAAATATTTCTCATCATAAATGAAAAAAATGAAAAATAATTACCTCTGCTTTAAAAACTGATTAAATTATTTTACTTCAGTCTTTAAAAAAAAATTTCTGAGACACTAACAAGTGAGGCTAGTGGATTTGACATTTTTACTAGCTAAAGTAAATTTCTACTAGCCCAGAAAAATAATAAAATTTGAAACTACTCTTCTTTTCATATATATTTCTTCTGCTTATTTTCTCTTTTTGCATTTTGCTTTTGAGTCAATCAATAAATAAATAATGTATAGATACCTTTTAACATGGTAGTATACATTCATCTTTTTCTGATTATTGGACTTCCTCTTCCAAAATGAAGTGAAAGCTAGTGATTTATTTTTTTTTAAATCAAATTTTCAGATACAATGTTTATATTTTTTTGATAACCCTTGTAAATATTTACTCTTCAGTAAATCAGTTGAGTAGTTGGAAATAATCTAATCAATTAATGTGATATCGGGATGGAGGAAATTCGGATTAGTAAAAAAAAAGACGATAGTTTTCATGGTTTTTTTTTTTTTATTATTATTGTAAAAGGAAAAGGTGTTTGTAGAAAAAAAGAACTAAATCACTGGCTTCAAACTGGCACAATCATTATAAAAAGTATTAAAATCATGTAAACAAACACTTCCGATCTCCAATTGGCGGCCATTTTTGTTTATACGTGTTATGTAAATTTTGAACCGAACCGAACCGAATTCCGGAATTCTGGATCGGTGCACCGAATCGAACAGTATGAACCGCGGTGCACCGAAATTTTCGGTGCACCGCACAGCCCTAGTGCTTTGAAGTAAAAAAAAGATAAATAAAATGAGTACGCTAAGGCGGTTATGAAATTACATCGACAGGAAGGTGGCGCTATTTGTAGAACACAGAATAAAAAACATTGCTGTGGATTTAGAAACCAAATTCAAATTTGACAATTAGTAAAACTTTTTATTTATTACGTGAAATGTTTGTATTCTGCCTTCTTCATGACGAAAGTGAATTATTCATCTGAAATTTTTCATTAATCGAAGTAATTATTGATAATTACCTGTCCAGAGGACCATACAAAGGAGAAGGAGGACAAACTTGCTATTCTTAAAAAGTGACATTTCCACCGTCCCTCCAAGATTCTGTAGACAGCCACTCATCGAAGTGTCCTTGACCTCCTTTACGTCGACCTCGAAATCAGACAGTTCCAAGGTTTGGTTGCTGGTGGCAGATTCTGAACTTGAGAAACTTTTCGGTATGTTTTTAATACTTCCACTGTAGAAAATGTCTTTTCGAGCAAGTGGGTTGACATGTTTTAATATACAGTGGTGATTGTCCAGACGATTTAGAGCATGAGCACTTGAATACATTCTTCTTGAAGAAAGTTTGGATTCTTTGTTGGAACTATTTTGGATAAATGAATAACAGGCTGGCGTTTCCCTATCTAGAGCTGATGTAGAATTAAATAAGAAAGACCCATTTCTGAGGTTCACAATTCCTTCCTGCATATCTTTTCTTTGAGTGTTTAAGTTAGTATCTGAAGATTCCTTTGAATCATAGAAATGTACACAGTCGTACATTTTGCCTCTTTTTGTTGCTTTTCTCTTTTTATTGACTGCTTCATTAGAAAGAGGTCTGAAAAGAGCAGCGCAGACGACACAGTTCAGAAGAATTCCCGCCATAATTAGGACTGTTCCGCGCCAGTTGTATTCTGATAGCAGAGCCTCACAGAGATACGCATACACAAATGTTCCAACACCGGAACCACTCATGGCTATTCCTGTCGCAAGCGCCCTCTTTTGACAGAAGTACAAACCAACCACAATAATACTGGGTATAAACATCATACAAAAACCAATTCCTGAAATTAAAAAATGTATTTTTCTACATTTTTCTTAATAAAGACAGTTAAGAAATCAACGATAAATGAACTAGCCGCTTGACACTTCACAATTTACATATAAACATACATGTATATTTGATTTGTTTGTAGTTCCATTAATAAACATTTAAGTTACTTATAATATTTTAAAACGGGGAAAAACAATAGTAAGATAAAAGGGAATTAAAAATAAAATTCTTATCAAGAAATTATAAGTAATATATTATTTCATTTATGAGAGATGATAATGTTCATCAGAACTACATGTACATCTGTCATATGCTTTCGGATAGGTTATCGTCTTGATAAACACCGAAAAATATAGAGTGCTTCCTTATGTTTACTTTTCAAAACGTGTTTTCTGTTGTAATCAGCTTCACTCTAACCTTTTGAAAGATCAGATTTAAATAATAGCGAACGCAGCGAGCTCCACTGATGTGTAAGAACAGGAAATTCAAACTGAATTCTGTACATTAGCCAAGTAATTTTGTGTGTGAAATCTACCCAGAATTCTTTCACTACCACAATTCCATGCGACAATGACGAATAAGCATTATTGGCTGCAGTGAAGATTTAGTTGTTATAGAGAGCTTAAATAAAACAATATATAATTGCATCTACTCTACAATGCCTTTCGTTAAAAAAAATGCACTAGGCTATTCATTAGGCTCCGTTATGGAAGTGCAACTAACATATGACGCTACTGTATATGATGTCACAGTCTAGACTGGGAAGAAGGAAATCAAGGTTACAAACGTAAGCTGTAAAGGATTTTGATGGTATCCAGTATTAAAATACAACTACGCTCGCCCCAACTGTCGCACTGTAAAACATATTACGGTGCAACCATTGAGACGAGTGCAAGTGTATACCATCAATCAAAGTACTGAAAGTCCTGATAGACGGTGGCATGAATGATTTTGTTTGTTTAACGTCCGTCTCGAGAATTTTTCACTCATATTGAAACATCACTATTGCCGTTGGTGGGCTGCAAATTTTGATCTATATTCAGCACTCCAGGCCATTGAGTAGTGAGGGATCTTTTTGACCAGCACTTACTGCGACACGGGACCTCGGTTAAACTGTCTCCACGTCCCGCAGTGGGATTCGAACCCCCTACGTAAGGATCGACTCCTTCATGTTCGTGTCTCTAGAGCAAACGCTAACCACTGCGCCACACGGCCACTGGCATTGAATGAGATAAAATATTATAAGAATCTGTAAAATGATATGATGGAAATTATGAAAGTTTATTGCAATTTTTCACGATACATGTTTTTTAATTAGTAAATTTATATTTCCGTAGTATAATGAGGACATGTATTAATTGGAGTTGTCAATGTATTGCATGAAATTTTCTACATGTACATTAGGTTTATTGTAAAATAAGGATTGGATTAAAAAAAACTATCCTGAAATGCCAGAAACGAAACTTCGATCATTTCAGGGTTTTTTTTCTCTATGTACTATTGTGGTGTACAGTCATAATTGCAAATTTAAAAATGAAAACATATTTAAGGATGATGGACAGATTGAAATTATATATTCAAATAATGGATATTGGGATGTTTTAGTATTTCCCCCCACAAATTAATGCTTGAAAGGTGTCAAAACCACTTTACCCTAAATTGTTAAATCATAAGAGAATCAAGGTTCCTAATACATGTATATTCATGTAGTGACCGAACATTTTTATTCTAAGATGCATGTTTTACAAAAATGTGTAATGAAATCGTGGTGTTTTGAAGTTAGAAATTTTGACTTTATAGTTCCAAATATTTAATTACTCAGTTATCAAAAATCAAATTTTGCAAACCCCCCCCCAAAAAAAAAAAGAAAATATGAACAATTTTTCGTAACTTATTGGAAATTTTTTAAAAATTTTGAGTAGAATTGAACCCACAATATTTTTTAACAAAAACTTACTTTTCAAAAAGTTATATGGTAAAAAGGGAAATGATGAATCACTTTTGGCCATGTACTGTAGATTGTGCGACATAAATCATATGCTGAAAGATAGTGAAATAGAATTTATCCTTGGATTCCCATGTTTGCCAAATTCCCTGGCTGTAATTAACTTATTTCTAAAAGTTTGAAAGACTTCAGGAATTACACAGAAGTCTTACTCCTTTGTTTGATATATACTGTTCAAAAAGGGAAAAAAAGAAGAACAGAAAAACAAAATATTTGTCTGCCTCTATTTCTCCATCGTCTCAAACCACGGTTCGGAGTCCGCATATAGCTCTCTTCAGAATGGGAGAAGATTGTATATTTTGGCCGTGGTTTGCAACGATGCTATTTCTCATACGTAATCTTAATATGCACTGAACCTGCTTATTGCTGCTAGTCATTGCGCAATACGAAATTTAATTTGTGAACACACGCAGGAGAAGACTGAAATAAATTAAGCCCACTTAATTCGCAAGAGAATCCTAATATTTCATGCACGTGTATTTTAGTACCTTTTCTCTTACACTTTTAAAAGGGTAAATTTTATTCGAGGCACGATAGAATTTTTTAAAATACGAATGAAATATATTGTTAACTTTTGTCCGTCACAGTCTTTTTAATTATAACTTTGATAACTATAAATTAGCATTCGCTCAGTAGATTTTGTGTCCGAGATAATTTGGCAATGGCTTATTATATATTTTTATTTTTTAGATAAAATCGTAATAAACTTCGCTTTATGGCATAGTATATGCCTCCAACAACTCTTTTTTTAACTGATTATCGATAAGATGCCGTGATCTTTTTTTTTCTTTCCGAAAATATATATATATTTTCTAATATATTATCGTCAACAGATATTAGAAATTCAAAAAATCAACAGCATCGTAAAATTACAGTTAACTTTAAAAGTTTTATTGTATAAAAAAAATCCACAAATCGTCTCAAATAAAACATTTATAAAACAGGCAATTCCGGAACAAGGAATGTGCAGTCCTCGAATCATATTGTACTTTTGGAATTGGAGAAATTTGGAGATCGACGCTTTCCTAGCATGGAGTATCTCATAATTAGGGAGTATCAAACTGGTAACGTATCGTAATTACAGTTTGTCGCATACATGTATCTAAGAAACCACCGTGCGTGTGTTTAGCAATATTATTTGATTTCAAAGTTAAAATGTGAAACCATTATTCTCAAATATTTGTCCCTTAAATATTCCGACTATTAATAAATATTATTTAAATTTTACATTAACACAACGTTAAAGAAAGCCGTGTGACTTCTGTAGTCTGCATACGAATATACGGGTCAGTCTGTGTACGAATTAGTTGTAGGTCGGCGTAATTTAATGAATATTCATGAAGCGAGAAATATCGGCAAATATCAGGAATTAAGCTTTGTGCCCATCAACAGAACTTGAGTGTATTTGTTAACTATGTGCATTTTATTTTCAAACGTTTAATCAACCCTATTTTCATTATTTTGACTTTGCAAAAATCGCCGCTAGGGTCCTCGTGATTTTACACTGTTGTTATTTATAGCCCAAAAGCAGCAGCAATAGCCTGTGGCTATAAATAGCCACCGTCTAAAAAGCTCTACATGCCTTACACTTTTAACTTCGATCAGCCTCGTCATACTTAAAACCACACGAGTGATAGAGAGACTTAGTTGCACTTCCATTAGCCCGGTTCCTTGGCTTATCCTAGCCAAGGCAGTGTCGCGGAGTATACGATGCGTACCAGGGAAAGGAAACCAGGCTACATTTCCATAGTTGTAGAGTTTTTTAACGAAAGGTATTGAGAGTAGATGCAATTATTTTTTTGTTACTTTGATTCTCTCTACAAGAAATCTTCACAATAACGACAGGCCTGTAATATTGTCCATTATCGCATATAAATGTGGTAGTAAAAGAAGGCTTCTGAAAAGATTTCAGACAAATATGTTCAGATTTCAATTCGAATTTCCTCTTACACGTAAATCAATAGCTATCATACCGATAATTGACCAGTCAAAAGGAACTCAATTGTAGTTCCACAATCTACAGAGAGACGTCACCTCTGTAGATGGAGTACCATTTGAACTGTGCATGATGCACATAGCTAAAGCAGTGACATTTTTTTTCATTTAGCGTGCCAGCCCTTGACAAAGGACCTCGGTTTTTAAGGTATTATCCAAAAGACCTTTGACTTTCACTTTAATTGCTCGGCACTTGGGGAAAGAACAGTCATTGCCAATGTCAAATGTCTCATTGACGCGGCGCTTTGTATGAAAATCGAATCCGGGCTATCCGGAACTTCCGATCACGAAGAGAGCGCCAAACCACTGGCTATCACAACAAGACTTTTGGTTAAGACGGGTGACAGAAAAAGCTTAGCTGAACACGTGAGCTTCGACTTAAATTCAAAAAAAGGAATTAAGGGAACCGACTGGGTTTTGTGTAAAAATTACAAAAGTTCTTTGCTTTTAAACACTGTACCATGTGTAGCCTGCACTGACTTCTATTAAACGTTAGTCTATAACGCTCGCTTCTCTTCGCTCGCTATTAACCACGCCCATCGAGACCATGCAGATCGCATTCTGAAGGTACAACCCAAATTTTAATCCGGAACTCCCGATCACGAAGAGAGAGCGCCCAACCACTGCCTATCACAACCGGTCTTTTGGTTAAGGCAGGTGACAGGAAAAGGCATCTTAGTTGAACACGTGAGCTTCGACTTAGAGTCTTCAGTAAAGCATAAAAAAGGAATCAAAATACAGTTACATTTACTATAGGATCTTTAATTACACTTTTTACAACCCTCTCTTAACGGTATCAGTTTATCATAACGTAACAAACACATTTTCAACGATGTCCATGTACCTATCAGTTGAAAAATTATTTTTAAAAAATCAGTTATTCAAAAATATAACTTTTTTTAACATTATACCTTTGATTTCTTTATTTTGTAAGTATGATAAATAACATTAAATTGTAATATCCTTTAGTTCACTATGCTGGGCGAAGGATTAAGCAATGAAAACCCAGTCAGCCCCCTCAAACGAAGAATTTTTTAACCATTTTTATCAATCAAAAATTCACCTGACCACACCTTTCAGCCAGTTTTGCGTGGACAGTATAAAGTAGTTAAATGTTTTGCGAGGTCAACTTTTACATCTGAATTATCATTTAGGATGGCAAGGAATTTGATGTCATTGTAAGGTACGTATATGCTTCAAATGCGGCACTGAGTTCATGAATTAAATGGACCATATATGAGGTCCATAGATGTACATAAAAAAATCTTTTAAACATTTGAATAATTTAAAATTGTACACACGTATTACTTTAAAGTGCCAGAAGAAATACATTTCGGTTTAAATATCAATTTGCTGTATCGTTCCAAGGGTTGTTATTTTCTGGGGCATGCTATTCTAGTTCATTAAGGTACATAAGTTTAATCAGATTACCTCCGATAACCCCATAAGTTAAAATGAGGACTTCCACGCTGGGAGCGAACATGCTGAGGATAAAGCCGAATGCGGCCACAAGGGCACCGCACAAAGTCACCTGGCGAATGGTGAACCTGTCCAACAGCCAACCAACAAACGGACCTGTAACATAAAGCAAACACACCAATATCAGTCATTCATAACTATACTCAACGTGTCATAATTGGAGGAGGGACAGATAACAAACACAGGACTTGCTGATACAGCTCAACTGATGAACTAACCATTAAAGGAATCCTGAAGCGTGTTTTAAATACCTTAGAAAACAAGAGGCCCATGGGCTTTGACAGTCAGCTGGGTATCCATGTAATTTCCGCATACATTTTCCACGTACTTTATCAGATATAATCAAACCATATGTCAAATACAGTTTCAAGAAGTAAAATTTAAGATATTAAGACATATTGCATTTATTACAATGTTTGGAACACCTGGTGTCTGAACTCGGGACCAAAGGTTCATGTGTTTCACACCTTTTTTAAAAGTTAATAGTAGTACTTATTAATGCAGTTTGCCCGGTATAAGTGTTCAGGAATAGTGAAGAATGATGATAGTGTGGTCCAGTTTCTCGGGCACCCAGAAGGCGGGACCATGAAGTTCACATCTTTTTTACCGAAACAATATATCAAAACCGACATAAAGTGGTTCAACTATTTCGTTGAAGAAGCTGAAAATACTCTCTCGTTTTCAACACGGACGACACGTGACAGACAACGGCACGAGCAATAGTCACGTGATTCAGACGATTCGATAAAAGGTTTTTAATTGAATTGACCAATGTTTGTGAAAAATTATGATATGAAAAAGTGTACAGACGACGGCAAGAGGACACAAACATAGACAACAAGCAAACCTAGATGAGACAAGCTCAATGACATGTGAATGTTTGGTTGAGCTAATAAATTAGCATAGTGTAATACGCATTACAGCAACTTTGCTTTGTAGATAATTCTAGTCGGGACCCCGACTGGTTCGCAGAGAAATATCCAGCATTATACTTTACAGAGCTTCGGGGTAGGTAATGACAAATAGAATAGGACTGGTCTGCGACTTGGTTATAATCACAGGCGCCTGAAGTGTGGATCGATACCCCCCCCCCCTTTTTAATAAAAAAAATTAATGTAAGAGCTTATAATTTCTCAATAATGTAAAATTTCCCCATCAATCACATCCATATGTCGTTCTATGCAAGCAGATTGTACCTTTTCTTAATGGCCTTGTACGGTATAATAAAAATACACAAGGTAAGAAACAAAATTGATAAACAAATGGGGGGGGGGGGGTCCCTGCTTCGAGACATAACAGTGTTACCTATCATAATTTTGCAAGCACTCTGTCAAGGAGATGTTCTTCTACTAATATCTTTAACTTAAACCCCATCATTAGTGTTTTATATGTCGTAATCGGACGATTTATTAGTCGGACACATAAAATTTTCTCCATTGACAGCTTTGAAGGAGGTTTTGGAGTTCGCACATCCGTCTCGCTTTATCTGATTGGTCAAAGATTTAAACTGTATCACTGTTAACCAATCAGATAAAGCGAGGCGGATGTGCGAACTCCAAAGCCTCCTTCAAAGCTATCAATGGAGAAAATTTTATGTGTCCGATTAATAAATCGTCCGATACGACATATAAAACAATAATGATGCAAAATAAAAGTTACTCCTGTTTCAAGAACAATGAGAAAGACTATTAAAAGAAAAAAAAAAGTGAGAGTAAGTTTATACAGTATACTAAATTATCGTCCCTATAAAAAGACCCGGCCAGTTCAATGCCTACCACGATTGGGTACGTTATAGCTGTGGCTCTCCCCATGATAGAGTACAGTGTCCTGAACAAATGTAAATAAAACATAAAACTCAGGGCTACCGCTGTGTTCTTAATAGATTATCATTTAGGAATTCATACCACCATAATTTAGTCTACCTGTAACTTACATTCTGAAAGACATTAAGGGTAACAAGCTATAAAAAGACAACTACGATTCCTAGCTTAACGATATTGAGGGTGTGAGGCTAGGTTTTGAGAGGTCAGATAAAACGTGATCCCCTACACAGCAGTGGTAGAGGTTAATAACATTCAATCAGCTGACAGTTTTCGGGTCACCCTTATTAAAATTCAGAAGTAAAATAAATGATTGTAGATTTAAATAAATATTTAACAGCTTCATATTCATATTCAAACAAATAATATCCTTAAACATCTAAGCTAGGAAGTATCCCCGGCTGTTGATTTATTAAACATTACAATCACTTCGTGTGGTTACGCAATGATACATTGACATACAGCGCGCACAATACTGTATGTTTAAGCATCCTGGCTTTGTTTACTTCACATCAAACAGCACAATATTTTAAAGATAAATTTTTACAGAGTGGAGAGCGATATGAAAATTAACAGTTCTCGGAAAAATGTCTATATCATTTAAGTTTACAAGAAAAAACAAAAATATATATTAAAATTAATACAAAAATGAAATTATTTCGTTGGTATAATAATTGCAGAGTTCTATACTTTTATTCTGTGACTTTGACCTTACATGTAAGACAATTATTTGACAAATCAATTTATTTTTGTTGGTTATAAGCATCCTTTGCATAAACAATTGTAGGCGTCATGTACAACAAACTACCCAGTATTTGGGGTCAAGTGTCCTGGGAAAATGTGAAGCATGTCCTTAAGTAGACTTGTCACCAGCGAACTTGGCAAGGCCGAATTCCAGTTGGAATTGGTCTCGTTCAAGCAGAATCGAGAAAAACAAGACCAATCCTACACGAAGTTACAGCTACAATGCGTTCTGGATTAAAATTGTTTACGCATATTATTATTAAACCCATGCGTTCTAGCTTCCCTTTGCCACTTTGGATGCTTGAACGGCTAAGATAACACCCAGGTTTTCGAATGTCCCCCACAAATAAAATGTTCTATTTTCAGGTATGTATTTTCATGTTTATTAACATTTCACCACCGTTTATCGTAGAGCAAACAATTAAGTAGGAATGGTGAGAAAGGTTGTCTCGGTACACTTAATGAACCTGACATAATGAGGGGAATTTCATCCTAGTAAACTGAAAGTCATTATAAGAGACCTTTATAACGCCCATGCTCTATTTTTTTTTCCAAGCTATTCTGTACTTATACGTTAATATATCGTCAGAAACATTGTTCATTTTTGTGCTTTGTGCTTAACTTCACTAAATATTAACCAAATCAAAGACATACTCATGCACATTAAATTTTGGTGTTTTTGGTACCAAAATAACATTTTTTAAAAAAAATTTTGTTTCAATAATCTGAAGTGTAAAGAATGGTTACATGTATCTGTTTTTTCTTTGTTATCTGATCAATTGTACAAAAATAGGGAAATTGGACAATTTTCTATAATCTGGACAATTTCACTTAGTATTCAAGAAAAAGCTAGGGCAATCAGTAACAAGTGGAATCTGAACGTCACTGCCATGTGGAAACATTCTCTGTAAACCCCATTCATTATTTATCCACTTTACCATGTAAAACTGCTGGAAAAAAAATAGGCCCAGAATTTTAACGTAACTTGTATTGAATCAATCCTTAACAGTTTGGATGGCGTTTAACCTATGAATTCATTAATAATTTTGACAAAAAAGATAGCTGTCGGACGAGTTGAGAGGTAACGTTATGCTAATACGAATTTTTTTAGGAGAGACTTACCTAATATCATGCTTAAACCAAGAAGGACAGACCCAATCCAAGATGTCTTTGCTTTGGACTCGCCAAAATACTCCAGAAGGGTTATCAACATCACCCCAAACGAGAACATTGTCCCATCAAGGATGAAGTTGATGACAAAGCTGCCAAGACACACCAGCCATCCCCACCCACCATCCGGCGCCAAGTTGTCTGTCGTCTGCTCCGAGCGCGTGCTATGCGTTTCCGAGGAACTTTGGGATTCCTTTTTCTTATTCATTTCTATGAACTTCAGGACATCGCTCATTCGTTTAAGCTCATCAACACCTATATTTTTAAAAAAGAAATATAAGGAATTTTTATAAATAAAGTATTTTCAACTATGGATAATTAATGTTTACAACCATAACTAAAGCTGCGTGTACTTGCATTTACGTACGTACAATCAGTAGAATAATTTTTGCATTGTAAGGAAAGTGTATTGTGTTTCCTTATCTCAAAGAACGCTTTTTATACCCAAGAGTTTTACATTCTCTGCGCATGATAACATTCAATGCTTCATTTGCACGTGACAGTAGGATTCTAATACGTAGTATGTTACTAGTGCAGACTAGTTCGCCAAAACCTTGACACACGGGATGGGAATTGTTGCATCTCTCTTCGATTCTAAGGATCACACGGTTTGTTCGTGTTGACCTATATCATCGTTTGCTTTTCCTGCATTAAACCAGAAGCTTCTAGGTCAATGAATGTAACTGCGGAAGTATTTACTGTCAGTTTCATATGTATGTTACTAGTGTAGGTACATTGAAGTATTTCCGACTTAATAATATCAAAAGTATCTTGTTATTTAGAGGAAAGAGAGAAAATAGTTGAAAATCTATTTATGGGGATTTTATTTTATCAAGATATGATGCATTTTAATGAAAATGTGAGATAACTTTGCACGCAAAGGATAAATTCTTCGCCTTTTGCCAAAGTTCACACAAATGTAGATTTGAAATATTTTGGCCTGCATTTTCGAATGCATGTTCAAAACATTAAGAAACTTTAGCCTTAATTTCGTCTAAATTCCTTTTTTTAAAATATGTTGAAAAATTCTTCATCATAATTATACGTTTCTCCTAAACTTTCCCCGAAAGTGTTCATTTCTCTGACGATGATTTGTTCATCAGTAAAGCCATTGACCATTCAAAATGATGGTTTCCATTAAAGAATAAAAGCACACGTTTTCACGTACACACAAGACCTGGTATATCAGCATCTTTAAATTTAAATTTACAACATGCAATTTATTGAAGAAAATATATATATATAAAATAAAAATTCGTAGATCTGAATAAAGAACGTTGAATCCCGATAATTTTGTATTACATGTACGTGTACTTAAGAAATGACTTTTTTGACAGGGTCCATTATCAGATTTGAGAGGAATGAAAACTTTAAATTTGAAAAGTTTTAATGAGCAGTACCAGATCTTACCACTATATCGCCGGCCGTTTGATACTTCTAACTCCCCGCCAAATTTGTCGATAGCCATGTCAATGTTAAAAACACCTTTTTTCTTGTCACAAAAGCTAAGAGATTTGCTCGTCCCGTTCGTTGAGCAAAGAGCACGTTGCGATCAGCTGTTCCTTCAGTAAATAGCGTGCTACCTCAGGGGCGATCTCAAAACAGGTTGTTTCCAATCGACACGTTTCGTGTTTTTTCTGCACTTACTATTCCGGGTCAGTGTGTGTTAATATGTATATCAAAAATATGTTTGTCCATTCATATTGCCGGATTATCAAAAATATGGAGTCAATTTATGATACGCTGCACTATGAACTTGAAAGAACATGTATGGTGCGAAAATGAAACAACTCGTTAAAAAAATATTAAATTCCTTTCAAGGGGATATAATTAAGAAAAGGGGAAAGTGAGAAGCAATCGTTTCCCAATATTGGATCAAGGGTTACAAACTGACTTGTACTCGGTACTTAGTGAGGGATCTTTTTCATACCAAATAAGCAGTAGATAAATAAATTTATTTTTATTTCTTGTGTAAATAGATAAAAATAGTCATATCTTAAAAAGCAATATGGTCAACAAATCGGCACCATTTAAAATTACACCCAATTATAATCAAGTAGGATAAAGTTGTATGTACATGCATAAAAAATATAAATAAGAATTTTACTAATGTAACGAATCAAAAATTTTGATTAAACCATTGAAAAAAGAAAGCATCGACTACTTATGGGGTGAGTGCATTTATACAAAAATGATGCCCTGCTTAATGTGACTATAGCCAATATACCGGTAATATAGTTATATCATACGTTCCTGAATTAATATGTGCTATGCACAGTAGGATAGCGCATAATCTGAAAAGGATGGAGATTGAATAATACTTATTTATCACGGTTATTGCTAATGATCAAATATGAAAATGCACGCTTCACGTTTTATTGAATAGAAAGGAAGCGATATTTATAAGAAACATACCTTATAGATATTCTACTAAATCGTTTCAAAAGTTAAATAAACGACGATTTCAAAACGACTCGATTAATTCTTATTTCCTAATCTATTTCCTTATCTATGATATTCATAAGCTTATGACAAGATTTAAAAGTTCGATTTTAAATAAAGCAAAATAATACTGAAGAGAGAAATTTTGGTGTGAGATTATGTAAAATAAAGCAATTCAACGGGTAGTATAAAGGAAGAGGTAGAATAATATTAAATAATGATGTGCCTATAACTACAATTTAACGCATGCTAATGAAGTTATGTATATTGTTGATCACTTAAATTTTGCGACACTTTACTTTCGCGAGATATTGAAATATTCGTGAGCAGACAGTCTCTTGTAATTACGCGAAATTAATGTTCTTGCGAAACATAAAAAGTGATTTACAGCAGTAAAGCAGTCACAGTTAACAATTGACGTTCACGTTTAAGTTAAAATTGTGTCCACAAATAGAATACATAATTACACTTAAAATTCCATTTTGATTTGATAGCAAAATATATCCGGGAGAAAAATTAAAAATATATTCACATTCTTCTTATTTCATACACGATAGAATTAGAAATATTCAGTGTGAAGTGTATGGATAATTATTACTAGCAGCACAAGATAAATTCATATACAAATAAGAATTAAAGACAGAATATTTTACCTTTTGTACCATTTATATGGCTAGGGGAACTTATAGAATATAATGTATAAATGTATCTAATTTTCATCTCATTATCCCTCCCCCCCCCCTTTTTTTTTTTTTTTTTAAAGTTTCTTAGCTTTATTTAAAGATAAGTCGGAAGAGAAACTTGGAGGTTTAATTCTATTTTAAAAGACCAAAACTTAAACTATACAAAATTTTTTTTTTTCATTATGAGTTATGAATGTCTCTACTCTTCATTGAAAATGAAAACAGATAAATAATGCGACTAAGTAATACTGAATAACCACTTACATTTTGGAATTCAGAAGCGTACAGGATAAGTATCAGCTATATCACACTACACGTCAATGAGATCATACTGACTTTATAGGATGGCGAAGTCTTTGGTAGAATGTTGAGCGCTCCTTGCACGTATATATAATTACATAAGGATACTTATAACGGATATTTATTGCAAATATTATAACATTTTGTACTGACTTGGACTGAGGCTTAGATTTTATTATTTTTTGCTATACGCAGATTTTAGTATATTTATTCGATTATTAAAAAATGGAGGGACATTTCGTTATCCCCTTTATATACTTAACTCAGTATTTATACTTAAATTACGATATTTTATAAACCTCTGAAAACTAATCATTCATCGATTTCAAATTTTGCCGTTGAAATTAGAATTCGTCAGGTTCTAATTTCTCACCATGATGATTGATAATCTTTTTTTTTGTTACTGATGTCATAAAAGTATTTTAAATACATTGTTAAGTATATGTAGTATTCGTTTATTTAATTCAAATTTGTATATATAATCATACCGTAGTCTTTCTACCTTTCTGTGGAAAGACCTCTTGAAATGCTCATGTTTATTATTAGGCCTTTAACCTTTCTATAGAACGACCTAATTATATTATTCTTTGTAAATACGAATATATAAAAACATAATGTTAAAAGCTTTTAAAAAGGTGGAAAGACTTCTAATTTTTCTGTGAACATTTAGTCTACTAGTTGATACAATGCCCTGTGATATCGTGTCCTAATTTATCACTACAAATTTATGACTTACCAGTGTACAACAATGCAGGTTATATAAGGACAGGACTTTTTTTGAAAATTGCTGCAGGAGGCTAACATTATTTATACTGACGATTACAGATCTGGATGATTTTTATAAAGTTTTACCTGGTAAGAAAATTCTCTGTTTCAAGACATTTTTATTCACCATGATGCAAAAAATGTTTCAAATGTTTAAGAGATGAACTCTCTCTCCCTCATACCGTCATATACATGTACCGGTCACGGTAGCCTAGTGGTAGGACATTCGCTTCGTGATCGAGAGGCCCGGGTTGGCTGTTCGCCGAGTCAAACCCGAGATGTAAAAACAGTGACTGTTTTTTTTTTTTAATAACTTCTTTTAGCATTTTATCACTTCAGGCTAGCGTGTTCTCTATGGCCGTTTCTTTCACGCAGGATAAAGGATACAACAAATGGTCTTTCACTAAAACCACATTCTAAGTTACATATGTTAAATTCTATCGCATGAAAAAAACACACTTTTTCAATGCTCATAGGCCGGATGGGGTCGAGGGTCTGGAACCCTAGGACTTTTAGTTTTAATAAAATCTTTATAATTAAGTAACCTTAGAATGATTTTGGATCCCCCTGGAAACACTCATGCTTTACTTAGATAAACAGTGGAAAAAGATGGTGGACAAAGATAATTATCTTCAAATTAGATTAACCTCCTCCTTCCCCCCTCCCCCAATTATTATTTTTCTATAAAATTCAAGATCTAGAAATTAAATGTTATCACGTCTTTCCTAGAAAGTAAACTAAATACAATACTACTGAGTTAGCGAAAGAAATTTACGCACCCAATGTGTTAATCCCGTTCTAAGTTGCCATATGTAATGTGAAAGAGTATTTATATAGTACAAGTAAAATATAAGGTTATTTTAAAAAATTAATATTCCTATCGGACTTGGTAATTGTTAGTCGCGGTATTGCATAAAAAGCAATGAACTATGAACTAGAAATGTAGAGAAACTGATGTAACACATTACAGGCAATATATAACAAGAATCCAGGAACAATAAAGGTTATTCCGAAACAATGACAAGTATACACCGTGATTACATCAAATCATATTTTTAAAAAAAGTGAATACAAAATCAAAATCAAATACTTCGGGTCACTTACGAACAGTACGTTAAATATTTATTATCAAGTTACTCAATACTTCCTATAACCGAAGGTAACCTTGTTTACTCTTTACTAAAACAAATATATGTTATAATTGCGTAATTTCGTTGGAAAACTTACATATGAAAATCAATTTGCACGAGAAGTTAGAATTTGACATTGAATTAGTTTTTCGATAACAACTTGAAATAGCATTAATCTTTATTTATTAAAAACAAACAACCACACAATTAATCAACCAAACAAACAAACAAAACAAAACACGCTAAACAAATTAAAGAAGACTTGCAAGTTTCTATGTCCAAAGTAAACTATCTTCGGAGCAATTTTACTTTGTTTGTACATGCATGTATGTATGTTTTAGCCGTGATATTATGTTATCTTATTTTCAAAACTGAATTTTTATGAGTCATATTTCCTTTCTGACAGATTTTATTTTATAAAAGTCTACTTTTTAAACTATTAAAATATTATTATACTAGATGACATCCCGCGCGTGCGCGGGGAATTTTTGCCAATGCTGACTCATCATTTCCAATGATTTATCTTATAGTTTCTACTGACAATTAATGACTGGCTTATAGTAGGACAAAAATACTTTGTACAAAATTCTGCAGGTGGTTTAGGAGCTAAAGTAGATAAGAAACACCCCGCCCCCTTCTTTCCTTTTTTTTTTGACTTGAAAAATATCAATTTCATTGATACATGTATGTTCTCTTTACATGTAAGCAACTTTATTTTGATACCTGTTGTACAATTAATGTTATTACATGTTATCCTTCAAGGATAAAATAAGTGAATATGCACATTTTACTGATTTTTGGGGGTAAAAATGAGCTTTTCACCCTAGTATTTAATATTACAAAAGACTGTTAGTAGACCCCCCCTCCCCCCCCCCCCCCGAAAGGTATTGATTAAAGCAAAATATATTACCAGCTTTAGTAAACATGTGAAAACTTAGAATAAACCACTTTTACTTCATATATTTGAACAATAACTTATTCATTTATTGAGTTTTCTCTTTAGCAAGTCTGTATTCAAATTGTACTTCGGGTTCGTTGCCATTATGATCTCCGTGGCGAATATGCACATTTTACTGGTAAGAGTCATTTATATATAAATATATTCATAACTCATAGTATTATTAGTTGCTTTACCATTATTTACATTTCCATTCACGTTAATTTTTTTTAAAAAAATATTCATGTAGTGATTATCGCCTTCTTTTTCTTTTTAACATCGGGTTCGATGCCTTCTGACGTTCTGGAAAATTCCACCAAGAGTCAGATCGGATATAGACGAAAAGGATTTGCACATTTTATTTTTAATCAGTAAGCAAATTTTATTTATTCTGTATCACTTTAATCAATTTTTGATTGAATAATTCATTAACGACGTTTTATCAAATAATTAAATGATTGCTTGTTGTCAGTTTCATTCAAAATTGTCACTAACTTAGACCCGCCATCCGGAACCACCACCGTACAATCTTTTTTTGCTATTTCACGACTGTTTATCGAAAATGAAAGTAGACTTTTAATCAAATTTACGAAAATAACAATGCAAGTGAAATATAAATATAGTTTACGGACATCATCTTGTATCTAGTGTATTCATAGAGGAGTTAGTAAGAACTCTGGTGCAGGCGTTTCGGAGTTTATTTGCAAAATTTATTAATTTATAAGTATAGATATTACATAATTCATTTAATCAAATAAAATTCCCTAGAAAGAACACATGTTTAATCTCATGAACCGAAAGAGAAAACACAGCGAATAAGGATATTTAGTATAAATCAGAGAAATTTCATAAATAAATGCATGTTAATCAAGAAGAGAAGTCAATTAAGAGCCATTCTCTGTAATGACTTCAGCTATATAGGAGCTGTGGCACGCATAGTCTCAGAATTTCTCCAAACTCTCTATGTTAAAAGTGTTTGATACCGTAAACTCAAATCAGGCAAAAATTGGTTGCTACGTGTCATGGTTACCATAGCAACATGTCCTAACGTTTGAAAAATGGCATTTTTCAACATGTTCAGAGTCCCACAGTTAACGTTTGCAGCAAAGCAAACAAGTGGCAATGACTGTTTCTGAAAGTTGAAGGCCTGATGTCTTAAATGCATGATAAACATGTTTGGTAAATCAACTATTACATACGTTGTGTTGCAATGAATTTCATTGTTTTTCATCACGATAGTAGCATTAACCCAATCATAGCAACAGATTTTGCATTACACTATGTTACCATGGCAACCATGAAAGTTATTTTTAGAATAATATTGCCAATACCTAATTACTTAAGGTCAAATATTTTTTTAATTGTTTTTCTTAGGTTGTTGGTTTAGTTTGATCACGTAACATCTATCATTTGTGAATATTGAGCGTTTTTCAGCATTTTTCAGCATCTAAAATGTATTTCAAATGTACCCATGGTTACCACTTACTAAGAAATAAATTCTAAATAGTTTCTTTATAGCATAAGTGGCAACAAGGTGTCATGTTTTTGGGAGAATAGTTTGTTTGTTTTTCTTAGTCTTTATTAAGGCGTAATAAAGATTCAAAGTAGCTGAAAATCTCAATTTTTTTCAACTTTTCTGGCTGTTACCATGCCAACCAAGACACATAGCAACGAAATTTTATTTGATATATGTTTCTGGTGTCAAGTTGTAATAATGGGCAAAGTTTCATCAAAATTGGTGACCATGCGTGGCAGAGAAGTTTAAGTGGTTACAGAGAATCGCTATTAACAAGTAACACTAGTAGTGTTTCAATGAAGTCGTATTATAATTATACGTTATTTATGTAGTGAAAATCTTGAGCACATTCGTCAAATTTTGAGAGGTAAACTTAAAAAAATAACACTGTGGATAGGATAACTACGAATTCTCGTTTTGATTTCATATAAAACTTTACTCAAAGGACAATTAACATCCTTAAGCTTGTTAACTAACATCAATGATGGCTAATAATGGGGAGAATATATCAAGAAAGACAATTAATACTGTAATATAAATAAATAAATAAATAAATAAATAAATAAATAAATAAAAGAGAAGTCACATTTAAAACATAAATTAAAGCAAAATTAAAAAAAAAATAATGCAACTTGAATTTCATTATATATTAAGCTGTAAATTTAAAAATAGTCTGAATTCATACTCTAATACATGTAGTTCTTTAACTTAATTATTTTAAATTTAAAATTTGTGTATGAGATGGACAATCAATTTTACATTGTATTTGCGTCAATATTCACAAGTTCATTAACACTTTAGTTTACTAACCCCAATAATTATCTACTACATCATTTTCCTCCTCAGAATGTCGATTATCCTGTTTTTGCTCCATATTGACATAGCGCTGAATTACGTTACAATGAATCAGGACGCACATGTGGGATGTCCTTAACTGCATTACTCTACAATCATATTGTCCTGCAGAATGTATTTTTGTTTTAATTCTTTTTAAATTTTCAGATGTACAGGCGTATTTTATCACATTTATTTCCTATTTTCTTCTTTCTCTCATTAAAAGGAATGCATTTCCTTATCTGGTTGGACGTGAGCCTCATCTTCACAGACAATTTTTGTGACCCACAGGAAGGAAACCCCCATGTTTCCTACAGTAAAATCAAAACATAAATTAACCCCATTCAATGCATACATGTATATTGTCGCCGGCTGAAAAATTGTACATGTGCATATTGTCGCCTACAACAATATTTACCTACCCTCACTGCATATATTATCGCCCGACATTTAGAGTTATGAATATGATTTATGTGTAAATTACAAAGAATTGTCAGATAGGCATATTTTATAAAGAGGGTGTTGCAGAAACTCGTGATTATTCCCTAAATCTAGAAGGTCATTTAGATACCCACGACGCATGAAGAGTTATCTCTAAATATAGATAATGCTACGTACTAAGATGGCTTTATTTATACAGCGGGTATGTCCAGCTTGTTATAACGAAACATTTCACATTTTATGTTAATATCATGCATAGTTTTTCCTAAATAGACTCGCATATCATTTTGAAAGATGTACTGTAAAAAGCGTGCGTTAATATTTTTCAATATATACAAATGTGTCCAATAATTACGCTATTGATGAAATATCCAAGAAATTCCATTGAGTCATTTCAATTTTTTGTTTCAAGTCAAATCTGAGCCACTAATTAGCATAACAATAATGAAACGAAATGAATATGAATAAATTAATTATTTTAAATGATAGTACTTTATTTTTAAGACATTGCCACTAAATAATAACATTAAATGTATGTCTTATTAGTTTTAGACACAATATCAAAGAAAACAATTTAATTCTGCATGCATTTAAAACATTACCCATTAACTTTCTGACATTCTCTCCCTCTCTCTTTCTCTCTCAAGAGAGTTGTTACATTGTACTACCATTATATAAGAAAAAAAATGTATATACCACCCATTCCGGGATTCAAACCCATTCTCAGGTAAAAAGAATCTTTGCTTAGAGTCCACACGCTTTACCACTAGACCAGCTCCGACACAGAAGATTAGTGTGCTATTTTATGTACACACTTTTCATTTCGGGTGGATAGTAATTTTTCTTCGATTTTTGTGATTTTCAAAAATATGCCTCTTTGAAACAAAAATCGGAAATGGCAGTTTTGAAGAAAATTCCTATCTCTTTATGCGTAAATCAAATTCATTCTGTTTCAAGGAGGCAGTTTTTCAGAACAATGGGGATTCCCTATTTGAAAAACAGAAAACTTGACTTATTTTGCTATGTGACTAATTTACACTTCTTTTAATGGAAAACTGGTAGTCGATATGCATTTTGCAAATATTGTTCTACATTGTGCTGTATATAATGTTGTATCTGAAAAAAATTAAGACCGTTTTCTGTTACTTAAAATTTTTCTTTTAAACTGCTACAGCTTTAGGGAAAATAACAAAAGAACTGCAACACCCTCTTTCAAAAATGGTATTCAAATTGAATATTCAATAAAATGCTGTATTAAGAATACAAGTTGCACTCTGAAGAGGAAGAATTGGGCGCAATGAACACGGTTAATGTACATTCATTTAAAATACCATAATTTTTTCTCCTTCTCTCTCCTACCCTACTGAAATATTTTTCAAACAATACTTCTGGCGACAAAATATGTAAATTTTCACAGCATACATCGTTGCCGACCACAATATTTGCCAATATGTAAGGTACATTTCGTCGCCCATTCTGCAAGGAGAAAAAACAACACATATTGTCGCTGGTGTTAATATGTACATGTACCGATGGACATTAGGGCAGTGTGGTAGGTACATACATGTATTGTCGCCGGCAACAACATATGCAGAACGACAAAATGTACCGTCACAGCCCATAAAACAAGGGTTTTTTTTTCTACAAGATGTTGGATCGATTAGAGCAATCAAGACCTAAAAAGTAAAGATACTCACTTTTTTTCTACTATATCAAAAAATTGCACGATTTAAATCATCATTTCTTGTTGATGTTCCTTCATAGAGATCAAACGGATTCAACTCATGCAACAAGACGATGAATTTTCAAAGTGTTCAAAGAATGTATATATTTTATTTTTTTTTTAATAAGTTTTATTTTTCATACTATTTTTTTATTATTTCAAAATGCGCTGAATTTACAAGTCATAACCTTTCTATAATATATAAATATTTCGGGAATACAGGTACAAATAAAAAATATTAGCAAAATAAGTTTCAAAGAGATCGTCTTAAATTTCGATGCATAATTAATATTTCTTTCTTTTGTGCATCCGCAATAACCTCTGTAATAAATGGATACTGCTTTTGAGATTTAAAAAAAGCAAATACAAAAAAAATATTAGAAATAACCACAACACATTCTTGTAAAGATACAGTAAAAAACGGTATTCAGTTTAAATTCTGGAATGTCACTTCGATGTCAAAGGTATTATGGAGATTTTTTATAAAGCATTGGTGAACATTCCGGATCATTGTCTACGACTTTAGTTTGAAAATTAACTTCTGTCTCTGTCTGGAGCCCCTCCCACTGAGCAACTCTGCGAAGTGGCACACAAATTACTCCCGCCAAAAACATAGTCACGCCAGCTAGGTAAAAAGTAATGTTGTATGTACCCGTTTCATCCGACAATGAACCTGAAATATAACAAAGAACAGACATAATATGAATAAATGTACAAATATAATTAAAATGAACTATAAAATGTGATGGTCACTTAACAGATTATAAGTAAGAAAACATTTCTGTCAGCACTTTATAAATGAAAAATATGAAAGGTTTGACAATACACTAATTAATCGAGCAGGGAATGCCTGAATTCTAAACTCTTAATTCGATAAAAAAAAAAAAGGAAAAAAAAAACAGGTAATGAAATTCTGTCTGTGAAGTAGATATACTCCATACAATGAAGGAATATGTGTTGTGTAGAGATACCGTCTAACACAGAATTCACTCTCAAAATGTTTTAATTTTAGAATTTGAAGAAATATCAAAGTAAAGAATTACAATTTATATTATTTAATCAGACCTGCAATGGGTGAGCCCATAAAGGAAGATAACCCTTGACAAAGCACAACCAGACCGAAAGCATTTGTCAGTCTCTCTATCCCCATCAACTCCACCATGATGATAGATCGAAGGGAGACAAAGGCCGCTAAAAAAGAATTACATATTTAAAAAAGTCTTTTCTCAATATTAATGGATTTGATTTACCATTTCCACATTTTGAACTTCATGATATTTTTGTGTTTAGAATGTTTTTGTTTTCTCAAAAGTATAGTCTTTAAAGTACAAAGATTATTATTTTTTTTTAATTAAAAAAAACTCTTTATTAATCCAAAGGAAAAAAAGTCAAACCTATAGCTGCCCCAAACACAATACTGTAAGCAATCAGAATTGGAAAGCTGTTATAAAATGGCACAGCAAAGGTCGTGACCCCTCCGATCACCAATGCGAGGTTATTGATGACGAGGGAGTTTGCCCAGGGCTGGTCCGTGACAAAACCCACCACTAATCTGCTAATTGTGTTGCTCACTCCAATAATAGCGATCAGAGTGGCTCCCTGGCTTTTTTCAAGATTCAGATCGTGTACCAGGTCTGGCAAAAAGTTGAATGGAATGAAAAACCCTGTTGGAATTAAAGAAATTTAAAAATAATATCAATTCAAAAGAGACAAAATTTATGCGCATAAAAAGTGCCCATATGTATGAGTACATGTATGCACTCACTGACTATGAGGTAAAAGTTTGATATGGTATAAAGTACTTTAATTTATTGGGAGGAGGAGGGGGAGTCCAATATTCTAAATGACATATAAACTGAGAGTTATTAAGCTACAATGTAGTCGAACTTTAAAATAGATATTAGGTAATTCTTATTTTTTAGCATAATATTATCTGGCTTTGAATTGAATCTGTAGCCAAAATCAAAGTGACATTATAACCGAAAAAAAAACTTTTTTCTTTCGCATCTAATTGCATTTTAAGGAAGGTAAACGTATAGAATTGATAAATCAATTTTATAGTCCAGTATGAACTTACCAAACATACAGAGAAAACAGGAAATCCCATAGATAATGAAGGTGGGACTTTTGAGGAGTGTAAAATCGAAGGAAGCCGCGAGTGTTTTGGCAACTCTGGAACATCCGTTGTCTTCGTCCATACTTTCGGAATCACTTTCTTTGTTTTTAGATAAACTAGACACCGATACTTTATATTTCCCGGTTCTATTAACACTGTGAGGAATGTTTTTAAGACTACCGCTGTAAAATATATCATTCCTGGATAAAGGTTTTAACGTACTTGTATCAGAATGGTGATGCTGATGACGAGGTTTATTGTCAATGAGAGTAGATATATCTTGGCTCTGAGCAAGTCTAGCTACTGTGTCATTTTTACCATTGGAAACATGTACAACTTCAACAGACTTGCATCGATATATGGGATGTTTTTCACAAAGTTCGAGATCCAATGCACAAAATGGTTTTAATTCTGTATCTTTAAAATCTATACTTTTTGAACATTTGCTTTTTGCCTTGTTTTTGGTGTAGAGGGGTCGGAATGCTTGAGAAAATGCCACAGCATTGAGTACAACCGCAGATAGAATCCAAAGGGTCCCCTGCCAAGAAAATTTTTCCAGAAGAAAGCTGGTTATAGGTGCAAAGACGAAACCCCCGATTCCGCTCCCACATACAGCAATACCTGTGGCGAAAGCTCTTCTCTTCTCAAAGTAATACCCGACCATAACAATGGACGGCAGGTACATAAAGCCAAATCCCGCTCCTGTAAATGAATTACACGTACATTTTGGGTTAAAAGCATTGAACTTTATTCATATTCGTTAAATAATTCAGATAATTTTCATTCGTAACTATAATATTAATGAATTCCTTAACTTTTTTTTTTTAAAATTACTATAGTCAAAGAAGAGAAGAAAGAGCCAACACATTTACGTATTACTAGTAATTAATTGACGAGGAAATCCATTGAGTGTCATCTCTCACCTCCAACAAATCCATACAAGAAAATCATGACATCTAAATTTGGAGAAAAAGAGGACAAAAACAATCCCAGGAAAGCCATGATACCCCCTGCGACGGCTACTCGGCGACACCCAAACCGGTTACAGAAAGCCGCCACAATAGGCCCTAAACAATACAGGAAAAGACGATATCGTTAAAACATTAATCAGTCCAACAGAAAAAGGTGCAAGGTAACTTCTAAATTGCATATTTTTAATTACATTTGAATCATAATTTATCGTAAATCGTGAGATTAAAAAAACTGTGAATATACTAAAAATCAACTGCACAACAAAGCAAGCAAAAAATGCAATAATTATTATTATGCATGACGAAAAACATAACGTGATTGCAACCGGTCAACGTCACATGTTTTTAATTGATAACTCGAAGTGTATAAAAACCTTCAATCGAAGCATGTGAAAGGTGAGAAATTAATGTACTATGTTTCAATTCTTTTTTTCGCCGATCCTGTCAAAATCTTCTTTGTACATGACATTAGCTTCTTCGAACTTGGGGCCATATGATAATTTGTATGCATCTATTTCCTGCGCATGCGTATATTCATGAGGGGGAGGAGCGTGCAGTGGTTTTGCCAAACGATATTTCATCGTGAAAGTAGATTTGTTAGATTCCGGAACATGTACTTTTATTAAACTTATGCTTTCAAGAATTGAACAAAATTTGTATGAGCCATGCAAAAATACCATTTATTTTTCAGTAAACCTACTAATGTGTTTCTGTTACAAAAACAGGGTGCTTTTTAAACAAAACTATTAAAGGAACTATGATAATATTAATTAATTTGTCCTAATCTGCTTGCACTTCAGAAAAAAATTTCTTAATTTTATCTTTCCTTTTTTATACGTTATATTTCTTTCTAAACCATTCGTTGCCATTGCAGCATTTTGAATCACATGCTTTTGCTTTCTCCAAATTGATAAGGTAAGAGCATACAAGTTCTGAGTGCGTTTAATTTTTAACCGAGGCAGGCTACTGACAAATAAATTGATGATAAAGGAGTTTCTACAATCTCATTTAAATTCAGCATTTCGCAAATTCTATGATCGTCATTATGACATCGTTTGCAAATGAAACCTATCGCCGGGTCAATACGGATTACTCCGTTGACTTCATCAATACAGAGAGCTCACGACGTGTGCGACTGGTCGACAGGGGATGCTTACTCGATTTCACTTTCGGTGTTTCCAGTGGTTCACATTTTCCCTGTTCACGTTTCCCATTATTTACAGAGATTGATCACGTTTCATTATCTTCACATATTTCATTAAAAGAAGCTTGTCACTTTGTGGGGTTGATCACTAAGCAGTAAATACACACAAAATTCTTTCTACATTTAATGAAAATTTTCTTTAAATATCAGGCCAACCAACAAGCGTTAACAATAATATTATTCTATTAAATGAACAATAAAATCAAATGATGATTCATGTTTCTCTCTGGACCTTATGTTGTTTGATTTTGTTTGAGCCTACGAGATATGCGATATCTGTCCTTGTAATCCAACTCACATAATTAATACCAGTAATTATAACAACGAGAAAGGAGTTGATTAAATGAAAAGATTTAATCACTATCGTAAAAAATAGATTTTAAACTTGTGTACATGACATATCTAGAAATCTAGGGCCCTTACACCAAATCTAGAATTTGTGTGTGTGCATATATTTATCCGGATAGGACTAATATGGTGTATCCAAAACGTTAACTTAATCTGCATAAATCAAGTTATAAAGAGAATATATATATATATATATATATATATATATATATATATATATATATATATATATATATATATTTATATTTATATATATATATATATATATATATATATATATATATATATATATATATATATATATATATATATTTATACAATCTAGAGCGATCTTTTTCGTACCTAAAGAAAGGTAGGCCCCATTCAATACGGAACCTAGGAGAGAAGTTTTCCCTTTACTCTCGCCAAAATACTCGTGTAATTCTGTGAATAAGAGTCCAAATGTAAAACAAACTCCGTCGACGAGAAAACTGATCATGAAGGAGGAAAAGGTAACCACCCAGCCCCACCCACCATCAGGTGGTGCCGGTTGTGCTTCTTCTTCAGAAGATACACTTTCTTTGACAGCACTACCATTCTTAGAATGCACACCCCTATCTCTCTCTACTTTAGCCATCTATAATCAGAAAGAAAACAGAACAAAAATGTTTGCCTGCAATAAAATAATAAACATTAAAAACAAAGTGAATAACATCTATTTAAAACATCAAAATTAAATTTATATCACACAACGTTTGAGGAAATTAAGACACCTTACCTGGTCAGTTTAAAAGTAATACCTTAGATATTTCTTGGGAGGCACTTCGTGAACTTCCTAAGGGATCATTTTAAATGGTGGTGTCCACTAAAACAGAGGGGGGAAACTGATTAATTCAGGTTCATAAATCTTTCAGCAGAGCAGGTTTATTTAAAAAACTAGGTAGTGACATGTAAATCTCATTTATCTGTAGACTGAACAAAAAGACGTTTCAGTTTTGAGTTTAAAAAAGGGAAAAAGAGATGCTGAGTGGCCATAAAAGCCTGTATAAGTATCCGACCTCTCATAATGAATATTAAGGGATCTTTGGTTCAGAAAAGGGCGGGGGTGATGACTTGATTCTTTTGATGATACACAATAACTTGCTCAGTGGAAAATCACTGCTTTTGACCCCCCTTCTTCTTTACAAAGCATTGGAGATTTCTTCACTGTATATAATGAACAGAAGTTCATTATACCAATAATTGTTTAGATGAAAATTTTTAAATTTAATTTATCTTGCATTTCAAACAGTATAAATGTATTGATATCCTTAATGTTTTAATTTTGTAAAAATTAGAGGCTCAAAAGAAGCCGACTACGTGCAGAAATAGGCATGCCAATCTTCGCCTGATATCTGTAATCTGTGCGCAATTATCAATACATGTATGTCGGCATTTCAGCATAAAAGTAGTGTATAGGTTCATGTACTTATTCGCTAAAAGATAACATTTAATCCAAATTTCTTGAGATGCGAGAGTACCTTGCTATTTGATTTTCAACAACATGTATCACACTGCCGATAAATAGGTACAATTAAGATAGCCCGTTATCTGACCAGGGGTCAAATAAACTGGACCTACGTAATCTACTATATTCCACTGATGAGAATTTAATAGCAAATTGGATGATAATTTGTTTACTTAGATTAGTACTTCGACCTTCGTGTCATTTTTGTGTAAATAAGGCACTTGTAGTGGACATCTGTGATAGAGAGACAAACATATCCAGACAGTTATTGAGATAAAGACCGAAGAGTCCGGGCTCAAAGTTAAGGAGGTACAGCATTTTGTCAAGAGAGATAACTCATATTTTGAAAATCTTTATAAATTTTCTTCTGCTCCCAGATTCACCCTGTATGGAATACTTAATTAAGTTGTTTGAATTTCTTTTTTATATCTCTATCATTTGTTAGTTTTCATCAAGCCCGTTGAAATAGGGGCACGGGGAAAGGGGTAACAGTAAGGTTTCTTGAGAAGGCCGTCGGTCTCCTTAAAAATTTACGAAAATTTAATAAAAGCTAGCTAGTCTTCACATCTTGATCCACCTAATGTGTACATTCAAATCTCTAGCCTGAATTTCAATCCTTCACAAATAAGGGATATGTTATATATTAATTTATATTCATACAAACGCTCAGCATGTCCTTGAATCAGCCTCACAACTGACAGATTTAACAGTTGATTGTTTTAAATATAAACACGATTAAGATCAGCCATTAATTGTAAACTGTAATAAGGCAGTCTAAACTACATAGAACTTTAAGAATTTTTACTAAGATGTCACTGTACATTCATGACTCTTGCTACTTCGAACAATTTACTGAGGTCTCATCTAACAAAAAGCCGATGTAACATTCCGTGTCAATATCAAATCAAGATGAAAAATTAGTAATAATGATTATTAAAAATGAAATATGTAATAAGCCTTGTAAGCAAATTCTTTGTGGATATACGATACAAGTCATTTCATGGAAAAATTAAAGTAACAGTAAATATAAATTGCCCTCATATCTTGGAATGTATCTTTTTATGTCCTCGTAATTGAAGGTTCGGAAAGGGGGGGGGGTCTGTCCATCTGTCTGTTTGTCTGCAAAAACTTTAACCTTAGCCCTAACTTTTGAAGGTTTGGTGCTCAGGCTTTCATATTTCACGAAAGTATTTTTTTGTGACAAGACCTTTCTTTGGGTACCAACGTTTCTGTCCTTCTTACCTTAAGTTCGATCTACCTTTGATGGCACCAATCATTCAAAATTATGGCCGTGGAGATAGATCTATTTTAGCTATAGCTGCAGACCTGTAGCTCTCTTGAGAAAATACGGACAGATAAAGCTTTATCTGTCTAAATTTTCTCAAGCAGAAAGCTACAGTTCTGCAGCTATTTTAGCTATTTTTAAACTAATTATATAACTATAAAGCTGCAATTTTGGTTTTGCATCTAGAGCTACTTTTGAAAATCTTAAACTTTGCCATAACTTCTGAACAGTTGGTGCTAAGGTGTATTCCTTGTGCAAGTTCAAGCATAAATGACCTCATGACCTGGGAGTTTGACCTACTTTTGAAAAATGTTTACCTTGGCGATGAGCTTAAATACTGGGGTATCTTTGTTTCACAAACACATCTTGTTACTTTTTTACTAAGATTTTCAAGCATATAACAGTCCGAGTATGATAAACTTTTAGAGCAGACTATACGTACATTAGGCAGGAAATGATTTGCTAGAATATTGAGAGTTATAAGTTTCTGTTATATATAAAATACGATGAACATTTTTTTTTGTTCCCCATTAGCCTGCATAACTACATATCAATATACATGTAATTACATTTCTCTTGAATTTTAGCGCATCGAGTACATACGTAAGACAATTAAAAAAAGAGAGAGTAAATTTAAGTCGTTTCTTGGTTGGCTGTCTTTGTCATACGAAAAATATCATAAAAAAATGTTATATTTATACCAAGATATCAATTTTTTTTTTGCCACATTCGACAGTAAATCAAAGATTTTGCTATACTAAATCAAAGTATCAATGAAATCAAAGTAATTTCTAAGGTGAATCAAAGTCTTCTTACCAAGAAAATCAGATTCTTATATTTCATTTATTCCATTTCTCTAACGCAATGTTTGTGTATATTCTAATATCATTTCAAAAGATATCATTATTGATAAAATAATAAAGAGACATCTCAAAAAGTTTAGAATTTCATAATTAATCAGTGCCATAGTAGAATAACACTGTAAATCATAGTAAATCAATGTATCATAGTGAATCAGTGTATCACATAGTAAATCAATGTATCATAGTGAATCAGTGTATCATACAGTAAATCAATGTATCAAATAGTAAATCAATGTATCACATACATGTAGTAAATCAATGTATCACATAGTAAATCAATGTATCATAGTGAATCAGTGTATCATACAGTAAATCAATGTTTTCATAGTTAATCAATATATCATATTATTAATTAATCAATAATGAATGGTTAATCAATGAATCATAGATAATCAAGGTATCATAGTAATCAATGAATCAAAGTTAATTCATGAATCAGAGTTAATCAATGAATCATAGTTTTTTAATGTATCATAGTAAATCAGTGTGTCGTACATGTAGTTAATCAAGTATTTAGCAACAAAGGATACTAAAGTCTCATCAAATATCAAAGTATTAAAGTTAATCAAAGTAACAAAGTTTCAAAATAATTTCCATAGTAAAGGTATTTTTAAAATATATGCACTGTAGTTAACTTAAGTTCACTTAATTGATAAACATAGGTTTTGTATTGTGGATTTTGCTTAGGGTACACTGAGAACAATTGTTAGCAGTAGACGTTTGTACGATACCTTACGTACAATGACACAGAATGCCTTGACACGTGTTAGAAATTTTCACCACCCTTGGCCCTCCCTATCTTCTCCAGTTAATGTCAAGTACATGTATAAACCGAGTACACAGAGCAGGCTGTTCTGCCACATGGTCGATATTAATGCCAGACAGAGGAACCGATAACCAACTGTGAATTTACATTGAGCGCCTTATACAGAACTGATAAAAACGTCTACAAGAAATTATAACGCGTTCCATTAATTCTGTTATGAATTCATATTTACCTACTCTTCACATACAGTACCAATATTTTCTCTTACATACAATTTTTATGCTGTGTATAATTTTGAATTATGTGTGTTAAACTTACATCTTTTTTCCCTTCTACATTTCCTCATATACTTATAGAGCCATGTAATAAATACATGTAGTCAAACTGAATTAAAGTGCATTCAGAGTCATTTCAACAGTAGAGTATCATTGATTATGTATGTTATTAAATATATTTTGTCGATTATTCTTAACTCACACTCTAAATACTGCATGTAGAAAATGCAGTTGAAGTAAGTGTACTCTCTCATGCATAAGGTTATTCACAATCACGAGACAACTTTTAACGAACATGCACACTATTATATACTACTGATTCAGGTTTGTAATTGTTTTTCAGTACAATGTGAAAACAAATTTGAACCGCATATCATATCATTAATCAGTTGTTTTCTTAAATCGACTTTGAAAATAGTTTCCTTCTTAAAGACGCAAAAAAATTAAAAGATAAGAACAGTACTAACATATACAGAAAAATACTTCCTTCTAACTCGCACGTTTTATTTAATTGTGTCGACATCTGCATAAAATGTCAAATTAAATAGGATGATCTTTGAATATTTACAAAGAAAATAAAAGTTGTTATTGTAGATGTGTCAGCTTAGTGTCATGAAGTTTTTCAGTGATATTTCAACAGGGAAACAGGAGGTCGGTATGTCCTATTCACACATATCGCGGAAGTCAATAATCAATATATCATCCGCAAACCTACAGAACAAAGCCACAGCGAGAGAAAATCTGCATGTGAAATTCAAAAGAACTAAGCGTTCCCACGTTAATAAGTCGCTTTATCATCAGTTGTTTACTTAAGCACTGCAGTTCATATCAATGACCTTTTACGTCTGTGACGCAACCTAGTGCACAGCGCAAAACCGATTATTTTAAACAATGCAAGAATATATTTTTAAATCCCTTCCATAAAACAATTTTTAGTAATAAAAATAATAAAAAAGGCTCCTAATATGCAGTAATTACTCACCAAGCCCACTAGCGACAAGTTATTCCAGTGTGTAAATCGCAGTACGGAAGATGAAAACAGCTGATCGAGTAAACAATGTGAGATCCTGCCAACCGGAAGAAGATTTACCGGATGATCGATTACACACAACCAGTTCGTGCTTCAAGTATGGGCGTGGATCCAAATGTATAGAATGCGTTTACAATAAAAGGGCGAGAAACATGTATATAGGGTGAATAGAATAAATTAAATTATTTCAATGTCTTCAAAATTTATGTTACAAAAATTGCACGAAATGAAAAAATAAAATAAAAATAAAATAAATATAATATATTTATAAAAAAAAAATTCTGAAGAAATAATAAATAACAAACAAACAAACGAATTAATGTTTAGTAAATAAAGGCAGAGGTACAATGAAATTATTTGATTTGCAACATTGTATGAATTATGAAAAGCTGAAATTTGAAAGGGATAATTTTCTATTAAGATGATAAGATACACATACAAAAGAAAAAAAGACAAAGTGGCTCGATTTCAGGGTATTGTGTCTTCTATTTTGTCTGCCTGAATATAATAATTTTTACCTTAGTAATTTTAAAATGATGAGAGAGAGAGAGTTAAAAAAAGCACATGCATATATGTATATATACTCTATTCTGAAACAAAACCCCTGAGTAAAAGATAAATATAATTATAGCCTGAAATAGATGGCGGATCAATTTTGCATATTTTTAAACTATTCAGCACTGAAGGAAGAAGTTTTTTTATTTCATATTTTTCATATATTTTTAACTTTTTATAGCAACATAACATCCAATTAATGTGGAGAGAGAGAGAGAGAGAGAGAGAGAGAGAGATTCAGCATAGCACGATATAGAGGTTATTGAGCTCTTGTTGTATCATTGTATAAAATATTACCAATTAACAATACAGTCGAGACTGGGTAATCCGGACGCCAATAATCCGGACTTTCTAGAAGAAATTTTTGGGGAGAAGAATTTACATTAATGTTTACAAAATATAATAATATATAAATCCAAACGCTTCATTTATCCGGACGTTTTCCTCGGAAACACAAGTGTCCGGAGTCCGGATTAACGAGTCTCGACCAAACACATTTCGTTGAAAGAACAAATGGATAGCATTATCGATCTCAAAGGAAATATTATACACCTATTTACTGGCTATGAGGACGATAGCAAGTTTATCGTTCCCCAAGACAGCAACTATTTCCCGAGGCGCAGCCGAGGGAAATAGTTGCTGTCGAGGGGAACGATAAACTTGCTATTGTCCGAATAGTCAGTAAATAAGTGTTTTATTATACCGAAGCAGTCTTTACTTGTGTTACGTCACAATCTGTATAAAACCAGAAGAGTTCCGAGATGAAAAGCGAGGGAAACAGAATGCTGCCGGTGAATAGTTTAATGACTATTTCACCATGGGCAAATAGCACAAAAACTATTCCACGGTAGGGGCTGTTTGGAAAAAATAGCATGTTTATTCGTAATATTTTTATATAGAAAAAATTGACAGAGGTATAATAAATCAAAATATTTTTCGTATAAAAAAGTATCTTAACAACATTATTGTCTCATGGAATAGAACCTTCTAACAATTATTTTTTATTTAATTTTTATTTTTTCAAAGAACTTGAAATTTGTTATCAAAAATTGGATAAAATATGTTAAAACACATTTAATTAATATGTAAAAGGAATTGAACAACAAAAAATTATGAAAGTTTATTTAAATTAAATTCCATGTAAAAAAAATTAGTAAGAAAAAATTCAACAAATTTGATATAACATACTGAATTTTCGTCATAAGGAATAAAAAAAGTTATAACAAATTCAGTCAAATATCTTGAAGCTATTTTATTGAAGATAAGATCAACCCCGCCCCCCCCCCCCCCAAAAAAAAAAGAAAGAAAGAAAAGCACCGGAATCACCCCTCAATTGCTTTGTAATAGCTATGTGAGTATAAGAGCTACTAAATATAAAATGATTTATTTGTATACATTGTATGGTGTTTGGTGTTAAGTCTCTCAACCTTTCCCGTATGCAAGAACCTGTACTGACTATGATCAATTTTTAAATCGAGACAGACTACTGAAAAATAAGTTGAAATTAAAGGGTTTCAACAATATCATGTTAAGTTTTCTATGATCTTTATAATGAACATGTTAGGAAATAGAACCTATCTTTTGGTCGCATTAAGAATGACATGTTTTATACCAATTGCCTTTAGGTTTTTTGTTTTTGTTCTTATTCTTTTTAACTGTTTACTGATTTTGACTACGGATTACTCCGATTAACTGATTAATATAAAGGGCTTGCATCTGGTATGACCGTTCTGCAGGGGATGTTTTCTTATCCTAGGCACCTGTTCCTACCTTTGGTGTTTCCAAGGGTCCGTGTTTTTGCCGTGTTCATTCATTGTTAACAAGTTTGATCACTGTTTGTCATCTTCATTTTTTTCATTGTATGTACTTAAACGACAAACACTACCTAATGATGAATCCATGACACTGTGGGGACAAATTGTCGACTCACCCATGATAAAGAATATGCATATCTTCATGTTTCAATAGTATTTCCTTTGTTGCTTACTGATTGTATATTTTAATCATTAGTGATTTCTGTTTTGCTATTACTGTAACATGCATCATTATAAGTGGTTATTAGAATACTATGGAGTTTCATTCATGATGTGAATCCTGCACGTTTTGTCCGATGTCTTGAATTTCTTCCACTTCACATTCCGGAACTGGATCGTCGACATGCTTAGTAAAGTCTATATCGACGTAGAGCGTTTTGTTCTCCGCTCCGTGAATGACAGGTTTTCCTTTGGAAGGCGTGCCTTTCAAATCAACTTGTACGTAAATCAATCCATCTTTGTTCATGGTCTGGAATAGAGAATTAAGGATAGAATATATAGAACTCTACACCAATTATTTCCAAATGCACCAAATATCACATCTATTGAAATTAATCACATTATCTATGAATTCATCAGGGTGAATTGACTCAGTGCTTACTTTTCCGTCCGAATCTTTTGGTTTCTTTTTTATCGCAGGTTTGTCTGTCACAATAACAAGAGATTTATGAATGAACTTTTCAAATGCACTTAAAGTAACTGTTCTCAAAATCCATTCAAGATGAATTTTTAAAATTAAATCGTCATTTTTTTAAGTTCATAATAATAAAAATCAAATAAAAGTATTAATAAGATTATCTTGATAGAATTGGAAAAATAACTGCCGTATTGGCCATAAAAGGGGGGGGGGGTTAATCTCCTGAGTTAAAAATATTATCACCTTATTATGTCTTTTGAATACTTAGTAATTTAAAAAAAATATTTCTTGCTGGCAATGCGATATTAAATTTCTCGGTCAGCTTTTATATATATTAGTACGTGTTAAAGCGACAGTACTGCTGCAGAACGTTTGCATTTCAGTCAGAATTCCAATATATCATTAAGAAATGAGGTATACAGTTAATGTCAACAGCTTAAGGTTTTTTATCCCTAACAAGACCTAATTCTCTATCCTTAAATATCCATCACTTATATAATACTCTGATATTTATTCAAAGCATTTTACATTAGAAAAGGATTTACCAAGAGAAAGTTTCAAAAATGTAAATAACTAAGCAGTAATTAATTAACAGAAATTGCATTGAAGTCTATGGAGACAAGCTATTTTTTTTTAAAAATAAAAATTCAAATAATTAGGATATCAATAAATGCTGTGGTGGAAAGATGCATTAAAACATTAGAAATGAAATGACAATTGAAAACATATTTTTTTACCATACAGATTTTTTTAAAATTGATTTTATTACTTACAAAAAAGAAGGAGATAACTCTTCAACAAAAAGGTCAAGGTCATAAATTAGGACACGTTCCATTCTTACATGCTAATAGTAATAAATGGGAATTATGTCTAAATATACTGAGTATTCCACCCATACACATCTGTTATGTATTCAAATTCATTGAATCTGAAGCTGTTCGGGATGGAATGAATATTCTCTCCTCAAACAAAATCAACGTAATTAGAATCTGTCGGAAATCAAAGGGTCGTACAAACCGGAGGAATCTTAAATCTGTTTTAAAGTTTTTATTTGTACCACGTGAATTCTGAATGACATGTGTCTAAACTGAGCAATTCTCAAAATCAAAATATTATAACTTTTCCGATAAATTATTAATCGGGAACTTTTTAATCTGCTTTCAGACGAATTTTCAAAAATTAAAGTACAAATATTGACGTTTTGTGTATTGGGGTCCGAGAAGGGAAAATCACCAAATCATGCGTTATCGCGGCAAAACGTCAAAAATATTTTCAGGACAGTTACATCAAAATTTGCACTTTAAATGGCAATAATCTTTATATATCAAAGGTGTTGAGTTTACACTGCTTTTTTCTTTGAAAGCGATGGAGATATGAGAAATGATAACATATATCAACAAACCTGTCGAGGAGAACCTTCGCGAGCCCTGTGTGAGTCTCGCCGAGCTCCCGTTTCTTCATCACCAACGACTGTATTAATCCCCAAGTAAAATTTGGTCAGGAAATTCGCTTTTTCAAGCTTTATTTTCAGTTTTTTTTTTCTTCTTGGTCTACTTTGTCAAGATAGCAGGCCTATCGGTGTAACCGGGTCTACCCTCTTTTACCACGCTGTTTTGGTTATGATAAGTATGCATGCGTGAATGGCATGGAATGTGGAACACCTAACACGTTGCGATGTATATATTTATGGTCCATAAATAACTATTAATTTTAATGAAATAATCAAAGTTAATAAGTTAAGAAACTTGTAATTTTCTGAAGGTTTATACATTTATGAGTAGTAAAAAAATTCCAAATCCTATCGGAAAATTTTATCAAGTCCGTTTTTGGATGAGATGCGCCGTACTGTCAAATGTGTTCAAATTTCTGATTCATCAAGATAAACAATTAACATACTTGCTATTCTTTCATCAATTATAGATTTATCAATGCCATTTATTTAACATAATTATAAAGACTGATTTCCTCAAACTTTTATTACACTTCGTATCTAGTTGATATTACTTTTCTTGTAAACTTACTTTTCTCTGGTTTAGATTTAC